CAAGAGGGTTAACAATTGGGTGATAAGTGCAGGTATCATTGGGTTACTAAGTACCATGAACCTCCAAGTAGGGCCTAGGGCGGAACAGGGTTTAGGGCGGGGTTCCCCAACCGTGAAACCCCAAATCTTTCCCCTCCTCCCCTAGCAGCCGCCCCAGTTAACAGCGAGCCTCAAGGGGTCTGTTCTTTAGGGTTTTTGGGGGTCAAGCCCTAAACCCTAAAACCTACAGCTGGCAGTCCTTAAGAGGGATTCTAGTAGGGGGTACTATAATCCCTATTAAGGACCGTTAGTATAAGGGGGAACATCCCAACCCCAAACCCTAAACCTTTTGGGGTTTAGGGTGTCGCTTTTTTTACGGACTTGAGCTCTGGGGGCTTTAAATCTTGAGAATCCCAAACCCGGCACTATTGCAAGTTGTATTAGGGTTTAGGGTTTAGGGTTAAAGGTCTAGAGTTCTGTTTAGGGTTTAGGGTATAGCCTTCCATCCGGTGCTTCTTTGACCCGTGCAAGAAAATAGGGTTCTGGGTTCCTGAGGGGTGAGAGTTTGGCGACATCTTCCAGATCCGACCTTCTTCCGAATGCGGAAGCCATTTACAATGCTTTGAGAGAGAGGTTTCAGGGTTTAAGGTTTGGGGGCCATGGCGATTTCGGTTGATGTGCGTCTGCTCAGCGGCAGGAGTGTCTCTCTTGAGATTAGGAAGATTCACCTGTGGAGATGTTGAACCAACGCGCGCAGAGCGCTCTGGCTGTTGGCAGAGGGCGGCTGTTGAGTGCTAATGGCCAAGTCCTGGATGTAGCACAGACAGTCAAGCGGGCAAGGATTCAAAGCGGTGCTGAGCTATGCCTGCAAGTACGACTGATGCAAGTCGCAGCTTCGATGTGGTCAGATGCATTAAGGGCTCGTGCTTTTGCCGCGATCCTCGGAGATGGCTTTGTCGAAACCTGGGGTGATTCTGGTTCTGGTGGCGATAGCAACTCTGTGCAAGCTGGGCTGAAAGGCGTGCAGCACATCCAAGCTTCTCAGGCTGCTTTTGCCGCAATTCTCGGTGATGGCTCGGTCGTATCCTGGGGCGACGCCGATTATGGTGGCGACAGCAGGTCAGTGCAATCTCAGCTGAAAGGCGTCCAGCACATCCAAGCTTCTGCTCGCGCCTTTGCTGCAATCCTTGGTGATGGATCTGTTGTGACCTGGGGCCGTGCTGATCTTGGTGGCGACAGCAGCTTAGTGCAAGCTCAGCGGAAGGGCGTGCAGCACATCCAATCTTCTCTATTTGCTTTTGCTGCAATCCTCGGCGACGGATCCGTCGTGACCTATTTGCTTTTGCTGCAATCCTCGGCGACGGATCCGTCGTGACCTATTTGCTTTTGCTGCAATCCTCGGCGACGGATCCGTCGTGACCTGGGGAAGTGCTGAGTCTGGCGGTGACAGCAGTTCCGTGCAAGCTCAGCTGTCGGGAGTCCAGCACGTCCAAGCCTCCGCACGTGCATTTGCAGCAATCCTCTACGACGGATCTGTCGTGACTTGGGGCACTGCTTGGTCTGGCGGCAACAGCAGTTGCGTGCAAGCTCATCTGAAAGACGTGCAGTACATCCAAGCTTCTCAGTATGCTTTTGCCGCAATCCTCGGCGACGGATCCGTCGTGACCTGGGGCTGTGCCGATTCTGGCGGTGACAGCAGTTCCGTGCAAGCTCAGCTGAAGGGAGTTCAGCACGTCCAAGGTTCTGCCAATGCCTTTGCGGCAATCCTGTGTGATGGAACCGCTGTCACCTGGGGCATGGGAATGACAGCAAGTCCACGCAAGCTCAGCCAAGGGGTGCGCGTCACATCTAAAAGTCCACTCTCGTGTTGGGCCTGCCCCTAGACGGCGCTTTGCTCGCAGAGCGGCAGAGCGTTGCCAACGAGTTCGTCCAGCAAGTAGCCTTCAGCATCATACCCGTGGCAGTATTCTTCCGATGTAATCCCAAAGGTCGCCAAAGCCCTACACCCTGCTTACTATACCCCCTAAACCTCCAAACCCTCAACGCCAAGCCTTTAGCTCCCGTAAGATGGAAGGCAAGGCTCGACTTTGAACTTCTTGGAGGTTCAGGGTACTTAGTAACCCATGAACAGTTATGGCTGGGTTACTAAGTACCATAACCCTAAACCCTAAACGGCCCTAAACCCTAGGCCCTAGACCCGAAACCCGAAACCCCAAACCCCAAACCCCAAACCCCAAACCCCAAACCCCAAACCCTAAACCCTAAACCCTAAACCCTAAACCCTAAACCCTAACCCTAAACCCTAAACCCTAAACCCTAAACCCTAAACCCTAAACCCTAAACCCTAAACCCTAAACCCTAAACCCTAAACCCTAAACCCTAAACCCTAAACCTAAACCCTGAACCATGAACCTCCAAGTTGGGGAACTTCCCGGCAGGCAGCCTGACCCCTCTCCCCGCTCCCCTGCCCCCCAAGACTAGATTTTAAGGCTCCAAATGGCTCCAAGCAAGTACACTCTATGTAGCACACCCCAAAGTCTAAATTTTAGACCCTAAGCCCTAAACCCTAAACCCTACACCCTAAACCCTAAACCCCGAAGTAGTGGTTGTTTTCTACCCTCAGAGCTTTGGCGTTATAAGGACCGGACCAAGGAGTCACAAGAAATATTCAGGGCGATTGTTTTTTTTTTTTTTTGGGGGGGGGGTTTAGGGTTTTGGTTTAGGGTTTAGGGTTTAGGGTTTAGTTTTAGGGTTTGGGTTTAGGGGGGGGGGGGGGGTGGGGGTGCGGATGTGTGGGGGGAGGTCGGAGGTGATGACCAACTAACGTACTAGCTTCCCTAGAGTTGTCAGCCCATCACCGGGGGTTTGGGGTCTAGGCTAGGGTCCACGCTGAGGCGTGGACGGGATCCCAGATACATTCCGCTTGGGATCGCGGGTGTAGGATTTTGCAGGCGTTTAGGGTGTAAACCAAAAACCCGAGACCACTAAAACCTAACAACCCTCACAACGCTAATGACCCTATAGCTTGGGAAAGGACTGTTAGTATAATTAGGGGGGAGCATCCAAACGCCGTAAACCCTAAACCCTAAACCCTAAACCCTAAACCCTAAACCCTAAACCCTAAACCCTAAACCCTAAACCCTAAACCCTAAACCCTAAACCCTAAACCCTAAACCCTAAACCCTAAACCCTAAACCCAACAAGAAAGGTAGAGGATTCGGGGGGGGGGGGGGGGGGCATACTTCGAGCGCAGGGCTCCCAGGGCCAAGTGAATCCTCTTCCGAGTTTGCTCTTGGGGATTTTGAGGGTTTAGGGTTTAGGGTTTAGGGTTTAGGGTTTAGGGTTTAGGGTTTAGGGGTCTAGGATACTGCGGATTCTGTGCTCAGTGAAGGTTGCATTAGATCGGCGGAGCACCGCTCGCCAGAGACTGCGCCTAGACGCCCCGTATAGCCTCTAGTTCTGGGGCTGGGGCCTGGGGGGCTCCTATCTCATAATTACAGGGCCGCCCAACTGAACTCTAACCGTACTTCTTCTTCTCATTTAGTAGGTTCCCCCCCCCCCCAAAAAAAAAAATGACAAGAAAAAGGAGCACCAAGTCTAGAAGCAGACTTGTGAGCTGCACCCCAAACCCCAAACCCTAAGCCCCAAGCCCTAAACCCTACACGCTAAACACCCCATACCCTAAACCCCAAACCCCAAACGCCCCAAACCCTAAACCCTAAACCCTAAACCCTAAACCCTAAACCCTAAACCCGAGAGCTTCAAGTTCTTAGTGCCGCAGCCTCTTTTGGCTGGTCTCGCGCCACTGCCTCCTTGGGAAACAGGGCGCAGCTCTCTCTAAAAGCAGCTTAGAAGCACATCTCTGCCGCGAGCTCAGCCGGTGGGGTTTGGGGTTTTAGGGTTTAGGGTTTAGGGTTTAGGGTTTAGGGCTTGGGGTTTAGGGTCGCTAGAATGGTTTTTAAAGGATTTGAAAGGTGCCTTGAAGGTAAGGTGCGCACCACATATGCGGCACAAGAGCATCAACATCGGGTTTGTGGTTATAACCCTAAACCCCAAGCCCCTAAACCCTAAACTCTAAACCCTGAACGTATGATCCGCCGCCGCTGTCGGCAATTTTAATCACAGGAGAGATCGAAGAGCTTGAGGGCATGACTTCATGGTGAAGGTTCAGGGTTCAGGGTTCGGGGTTTGGGGTTTAGGGTTTAGGGTTCAGGGTTTAGGGTCTAGGGTTTAGGGTTTAGGGTTTAGGGATAGCAACGGCGCGGGCAGGCAATAGCAGAATCACGCTGGACATGTTTTCGGTCCAAGGGTAGTCCATTAAAATGATCCCAACCCTTTTTGTTGAAAGGTTTCTGGTCTTTGTACCCTTGAGTTTTAAAGGGTCTGTAAGGTAGATAAGGAGCAACTGCCCTTACTTGGAGGTTTTGGGTACTTAGTAGTGCAAAATCGGTGTAGTTATAGCCCACATGTAAGCCCCATAGTTATCCTAAGAGGGTTACAATTGGGCTATAAGTATAAGTACAGTTATATAATTGAGTTACTACCTCTAAACCCTAAAGCCTAAACCCTATACCCTAAACCCTAAACCCTAAACCCTAAACCCTAAACCCTAAACCCTAAACCCTAAACCAGTACCAAGTAGACTCCTGCTCACGTCATTGCAGAAACAGCTCCGCTTGGACAAGGAGACCTTGTGCCAGCTGCTGCTTTGTTTGATGTTCATTGCCATGCGGGTACTTCGCGTAGTTGGTCTTATATGTATATGTGTATATATATATATATATGCTGTATATATATATATATATATACACTCCCCCCTCCCGCTCTCTGCCCCCCCCCCACCCCCCCAAAGATCTACATATCTGGTAGCCCCCCTTCCAGTTATCTACCCATTTTGGCCTCTTACGCAGGTTTACGTGACGTAGGGGAGAGGGGGGGGGGGGGTAGACTAAACCCTCAACCCTCCACCCTAAACCCTGAACCCTGAACCCCGAACCCTAAAGAGCAATCAGGCCAAGACCATGCAGGATTGTGTGACCGATTGGCAGACATCTCAGATCAGCCCAAGAAGGGCTGAGGGTTGAACCGTGGGATGGGTGTTTTCGGGTTTAGGGTTTAAAAGGTTAGGGTTTAGGGTGTAGGTGGTAAGGGTTCATAGGGTTTATAGGGTTTTTAGGGTTTATAGGGTTTATAGGGTTTATAGGGTTTATAGGGTTTATAGGGTTTATAGGGTTTATAGGGTTTATAGGGTTTATAGGGTTTAGGGTTTAGGTGGAAAGGGTTGTGTAGGGTTTAGGGTTCAGGTGGTAGGGGTTTAGGGTTTAGGACTTTCCATCTACTGACAGACAAGGCCTTGTTCCACAAGCTGCATCCTTACTTGGCGTGCCCGCATCAAAATCTTCAGGTTCTCATCCTACCCCTTCACATTCCCCGTGCCTCCCCCCCCCCTCCAAAAAAAACAAAGGCGGAAATCCCCAAAGACCCGTCCGTGGTCTTCGGCTTTCGTTGCTGCAGAACTTTGCATGTGTGAAAAAAATCTAAACGCAAAGCTCTAAATCATTACCCTTCGCACAGTTTACTCACGATTGCATTGCTTAAGTAGGGGGGCTTTGGAAGCCTAAACCCTAAACCCTAAACCCTAAACCCTAAACCCTAAACCCTAAACCCCACTGTTCAAAGAGTTTTGGGTGAGGCAGAGCCCTGTGATTCCGCCCACTATCCGCCGTAGGGGGGCCCAGGGTTCGGGGTTCAGGGTTTGGGGTTTAGGGTTTAGGGTTTAGGGTTTGGGGTTTGGGGTTTAGGGTTTAGGGTTTAGGGTTTAGGGTTTAGGGTTCTAAAGGGGTCTGGGGTTCAGGGTTTAGGGCTTAGGGCTTTAGGAACTTTAGGGGTTGAGGGGTTTAGGGTTTGGGGATGTAGGGTTGTTGCTTTTGGAGTTGTTGGCGATACTGTTGCGCGTTTAGGCTTTAGAGTTAAGCCTACGCCCTACACACGAGACCCTGATGGAATCAGTAGTCAGATTCTTTGTCCCATGTTCAGTAGCTAGCGGAGATTAGCTTGAACTGGCCTAATCCCGGAACCCTAACTGACCTAAGCCCTAAACCCTGTTGAGCCCTGAACCCCTAAACCGCTGAACCCTAAACTTTATCTATCGTCCCGACAAACCTCGAATTTTTAGAATTCTTCATCCACGTCAGCTCTTCAACCCTACAATCCCTAAACCCTAAACCCTAATCCCCCGCTCAAACCCCGGAGAGCCATCATACCTATCAGCCCTCAACCCTGAACCGCAAACGAAGCCATATCTGAGCCAGTGGGAACCCCTTTAGGGTTCAGGGTTTAGGGTTAAGGGTTACGGGTTTAGGGTTTTAGAGTTTAGGGTTTAGGGTTTTTAAGGACCAACCTTAATGCCATCCCTCTGATTTGGGGTTTAGGGGTTTGGGGATTAGGGTTTAGGGTTTAGGGCTGACAAAGCCTTCAGCGAGAACCCTCCAACCGCTTTCTTTGAACGCTGGGCTCTTCAGACCCTCTTGCGCGACTACAAGTTTCATACCCGCCGTGTCAGTTTGGTGTCTAGTGCTCTTTGAGGTACATAGCCTTCACATGGAGATCGCCATGCTTGCTCCAAACCCTAAACCCGAAACCCTAAAAGGGGGGGAGGGGAGTAACCCTAAGCTCCAAACCAAAAAACAACCGAAACCCAAAACCCTACTTAAAACAACCCGCACTCCAAGCAAACCCTAAACCCTAAACCCTAAACCCTAAGCCCTAAGCCCCAAGCTCCATGAGTTGTTCCAGGCCCCTGGCGAGTTTTCGAAGAGGACCTCGAGGAGTGGGAGGGATGCTCTTGCTTGTCGATTGTTTTTCATGTTAGGGTTTAGGGTTTCGGGTTTAGGGTTTAGGGTTTAGGGTTTAGGGTTCAGGGTTTCGGGCTTAATGGGGTTTAGGGTTTACGGTCTAGGGTTAGGGTTTAGGGCGAAGCCTGACCTAGAGGAAGCAAAGCCCAAGATGCCACGTAGGGACTGTTTTCTATCATCCAATATCCGGGTCGGAATAATTTCTAGCAATGTTCCCTGATGGTCCCTATGTATTTCTACTCTAATAACCCCCCCCCAAAAAAAAAAACAAAAGTCCTATTCCAATTTTTCAGGCCCCTACAGCAGCCCTAAACCCTAAACCCTAAACCCTACTGTAAGCCCTAAGCCCTAAACCCTAAACCCTAAGCCCTAAGCCCCAAACCCTAAACCCTAAACCCTAAAGAGTAGGGTGGCCGTAAGGAACCCAGAAAAAACTATGAGGCGAGCCCTTTAAGGCAATCGGCAGCATAAAGATTGTTTTCATCATGCTCGTTTTCTAGGGATGTAGGGTTTAGGGTATAGGGTTTTTGCACCCTAAACCCTAAACCCTAAACCCTAAACCCTAAACCCTAAACACTAAACCCTAAACCCTAAACCCTAAACCCTAAACCCTAAACCCCCTCAACCTGTTCCTGCTCAAGTCGAGAGCTCCCGTTGCCCGTGAGGCCAACACGAGTCGTGAACTTCACAATCGCAAGTCTTGGGAGGGTTTTTTTGGTTTAGGGTTTAGGGTTTAGGGTTTAGGGTTTAGGTTTAGGCGCTTAGAGGGTTTGGCATATACCGCTTTAGGATCCGCAAGGCTTATGAGGCCTGTAGGGTTGAGGGTTTGGGGTTTAGGGTTTCGGGCTTAGGGTTGCGCAGCATATTGGGCTTATAGGCTTTGGGGGGGGCTTCGGGTTTACAGTGTCCGGTGTGTATACCAAGCCCTAAACCCTCAACCCCAAACCCTAAACCCTCTGTCGTGAGGAGAAGGTCACCAACTCAGCCAGTCAAATTGGCCAGGTGATCGCTGACAGTTTGCTTGGAAGGGGTTTGCTCAGGCTTCGTTGTGAAAGTTACTTAGTAGAGTAGGGTTTAGGGTTTAGGGTTTAGGGTTTAGGGTTTAGGGTTTAGGGTTTAGGGTTTAGGGTTTAGGGTTTAGGGTTTAGGGTTTAGGGTTTAGGGTTTAGGGTTTAGGGTTTAGGGCGCCGTACGCTCCGTCCCCGCAACACGCCTACACCCCAATTCCGCCCTAAACCATGTGAGGTTGGGCTGGGGTTAGGGCTTACAGGGAGTTACAGGGCTTGTAGCCTCAGGATCTTTGGATTGCCCTGCATGTCGCTACAATCACTCTAAACTCTAAACCCTCAAATGGGTGTGTACGAGAATAAAGGACCCCTACCGTAGACCCCCAAATAGTAGGAACCCTCTATTAAGGACCCAAATTGGGTTCCCCTAATATCGTAAGCCGCCAATATCCCTAAACCCTAAGCCCTAAACCCTAAACCCTAAATCCTAAACCCTAAACTCTAAACCCTGGGCATCCATGAACTCAGCTGGGCCAGGCGGATCCGGAGGTGCGTGAGCAAATCGCCGCTGTACAGGCAGCGGAAGCTGTTCAAGGGTTTAGGGTTTAGGGTTTATATTATAGGGTGTAGGGTTTAGGGTTTAGGGTTTAGGGTTTAGGGGTGTGGGGATTTAGGGCAGACCCCGCCCCTCCAACCTCAAGGGGTAGTTTCAGGGTCTAGGGTCTAGGGCCTAGGGTTTATCCCTAAACCTTAAACCTTCAACCGAAAACCCTAATCAAACACTTCTAATCGTGCGTAGCAGAAGGTTCGTTGGTGGGCCTGGGAAAACGGGGTTCAGGGTGTCACGGCTCAGAAAGAAGGGTTTAGTGTTCGGGAAGGTCTACACCCGATGAAATCCTGTAAATCCCCGATTGAGCCTATAAACCCCTAAATATTCAAAGTCCTCAAACAGGAAACCCGCCCAAAACCCTAAACCCTAATTAGACCCCAAACCCCAAACCCCAAACCCCAAACCCCAAACCCCAAACCCCAAACCCCAAACCCCAAACCCCAAACCCCAAACCCCAAACCCCAAACCCTAAACCCTAAACCCTAAACCCTAAACCCTACACCGCCAGGCCAAGGGAGCCCGTGTGGCCTTCCTTTCCCTGTCCGAATCTGCGCGTCAGACGTATTACCAGGCGCCATTGGCTAGGACAGGGTTTAGGGTTTAGGGTTTAGGGTTTAGGGTTTAGGGTCTAGGGTCTAGGGTTTAGGGTTTAGGGTTTAGGGTTACTAGGATCCAGAGTAGACCCCCTATTCCCTTTTTTTCTGCAGTTTAGGTTCCCACATGAGCCTCTTTAAACCAAAAATGGTACCCTCTCTTGTTTTGTTCCTAGGTTACTCTTGGGTCTAGTGTTGTGTTTAGGGCTGAAAGGATTCATAGGGTGTAGGGTTGAAAGGGTTCATAGGGTTTAGGGTTTATAGGGTTTAGGCTTCTAGGGTTTAGGGTTGAAGGTAGGGTTTAGGGTTTTAGGGTTTAGGGCTTAAATTCTAGTGGTCAAGGTCCAGGACTTAAAGTGTTCAAGGGGTTTGGGCCCTAAACCCTAAGCCCTAAGCCCTAAGCCCCAAGCAGTTCAGGGCTGAGGGTTAAAGTGCTCAAGGCTTTGGGTTAAGGGGGGAGAGGCGTTGTCCTTGCAGAAGCTAAGTCTCTTCTACCATTTTGCTTCAGAACCCCCCCCCCAACCAAAGAAAAAAACAACAAAACAAAACATAATCATCCTACATTATGTATGTATGTGTGTATGTATGTATGTATGTATATATTTAGATTTTTTGGGTGGGTTCTTAAGCAAATAGTAGTCTTGTACGGTTTGTTCGGGCTCTTGAGCGGGGATTTAGCTGGAAATCTTCAAGAGTTTAAGGCTTCCCGGGCTTACCTGGACCCCTAAAGCATGTTTACAACATAAATAGGCCTAAACCCTAAACCCTAAACCCTAAACCCTAAACCCTTGATTTACGGGTGCAGGTCAGGCTTTAGGGGTGTCAGGGTTTGGAGGCTAGGGTCTACAGGAACCCTTTGGTCGCTACGTCGGCCTCTGTCTGGCTGGTTTCGAATTCCTTGTAAGAGGTTTAGGGTTTAGGGTCTAGGGTTTAGGGTTTAGGGTGTAGGATTAAGGGTTTCGGATTAAGGGTTTAGGGCTAGGGTTGGGGATTAAGGGTTTAGGGCTTAGGATTAAGGGTTTCGGGTCTAGGGTTTAGGGTTCTGGTGTCAGGACTTAGGGTCATCACGCTCTGTTTCTTCTTTCATGGGCCCATTGCCGGCGCTTAGGATACTTAAACCCTGAGCCCGAAACCCTAAGCCCTAAACCCTAAAGCCCTAAACCCTTAAACCCCAAACCCTAAACCTCTAAACCCTTAAATCCCAAACCCTAAACCCCCAAACCCTTAAACCCTTAAACCCTCAACCCTAAACCCTAAACCCCTAAACCCCTAAACCCCTAAACCCCAAAACCGGCTGGCGAATACAGCATGTTAAATCGCATAGTAAGCCCAAACCTGGTGAAAGTTTTGCTCAGCGTTGGCAGCGCTGCCACAACGATGCTGTTGATGAGGCTGCCAAATCTGTGTATCGTGAGCTGCCACAACAGGTAGCCGACGTTGTTCAAAAAGCCCGACAGGCTTATGCTGAATATGTGAAAGTTGCGAACTTTGTTTTTTCGTTGCAGGAAAGCATTGTTCGGGGGACCTCTCGGTCGCATGATCAAACACAGGTTCTTGAGCAAACTGCTTGCGCAGCTGACCTTGCTGTGTCTTCAAATGCATCGATTCAAAATGGTCAAATTGTAAGTTTTGGTTTCCAACCGCAGGTTTTTGCGGATGCTTTACTAGGACCTCGTTTCTTGTGGGTAGTTCAGACCTGGATGAAGCAAGGTACTTGGGTGGAGTCTTCTGAGTGGGTTTCCATCTTGGAGCTTTACTACATTTTGTAGTGTCCACAGGATGGCTGGCTCCAGTCAACGTGGCAACATGGAGTACGGGCAGATTGCCTCCGACCTTGCAAACGGGCTCAGTACCGCAAGCGTTCATCTGTGAAGCTGATTACCCTCCTTTAGCCCTGAGCAGGCCATCGCTTGGTAAACAAGCTACTGTTGTTTTGCACGCGTTTAAAGATGTATGCAAGCGGCTTGAACTTGAAATTAAGATCGAGCGACGTCAGACTCTACAACATTTTGCATGTACGGTGCCAGTGGCTTCAACGTGCATTGTGCCGAGGGATATCCGGCAACCGCCACATGAGCTATTTCATAAGGTGTTTAATGGTGCGGATTATCCCGCCATCACTCGGGCTATGATATGTGCGCCAGTACAGGCACTGCATTGCCCTGTTCCTTTGCGTTGTCCTGTCGAGGTCTGGAATTGTTATGCAAAGCTGACAAGAGCAGTGCGCAAAGGACGCAATGCTTAAATTTGGAATTAACGTTGTATGTCGCCCTGTTAAGCATCTTGGCGTGCTTCTCGCTTGGATGGTCCGCAGACGTCTTGCATAAACCCCTAAACCCCTAAACCCCTAAACCCCTAAACCCCTAAACCCCTAAACCCCTAAACCCCAAAAAACCCCTAAACCCCTAAACCCTAAACCCCTCAAACCCTAAACCCTTAAACCAGGTAGCGCTCTCTGAGCTCTCGGCCTTCGTCTTCTGGCGCCGCTCGCAGGACGGGGCGGGATTTCAATCCCCGCTTTAGGCTTTAGGCTTTAGGCTTTAGGCTTTGGGGTTTCGGCTTTAGGCTTTAGGCTTTAGGCTTTAGGCTTTAGGCTTTAGGCTTTAGGCTTTAGAGGATAGGGCTTAGGGTTTAATTAGGTTTTAGGGTTTAGGGTTTAGGGCTTAGGTTTCCGAGTTTAGGGCTTAGGGTTCAGAATTTTATGTTCGAGCTCTCACTAGTCAAGCAGCTTTCCATGCGACGGGAAAACACCCACCCGCCCACAGAATCCAATATCAAGAAAATACAAGGTTCACTCACTCCATAAACCTTCGGCTCCCTAAGACCCTAAACCCTGAGCCTTGAAGCACTCAAATCAAATTCTTTCGCTTTGCCAATTCAGCAATAATTAAAACAGGGAGAGGCACACGTTCAGCCACGTCTGCGTTAAACCTACGCCTTGCACATCCCCACCATGCTGGACAATATGGACGGTCGCGGCACCTGCGCGGAACGGGTGCCTATGCCGACGAACCGTTGTGCCTGTGGCGACGAACCGGCGTGCCTATGCCGACTTAGAGTTCAGATGGTTTATTAAGGTTTATGTATACAGGTAAGAGAGAATCCAGGGTTTAGGGTTTTGGGTTTAGGGCTGCGGAATGTTTAGGGTCTGGGGCTCAGGGTTTAGGGCTTCGGCATGTCTAAGGTTTAGGGTTGAGGGTTCAGCGTCTAGGGATTTTAGGATTAAGGGTTTGGGGCTGGGGGATGTTTGGGGTTCAGGGTGTAGGGTTTAGGGCGTAGGGATGTTTAGGGTTTAGGGGTCCAGGGTTCATGGTTTAGGGTTTAGGGCTTAGGGTTTAGAGTTTAGGGATTAGGGGCGTCGGGCTTGTTTGGTTTTAGAGTTTAAGGGTTAGGGTTTAGGGTTTAGGGTTCAGGGTTCAGGGTTTAGGGTTTACGGCTACCGCCTTAAGCCCAAAGTTCGGAAAAAAAAACAGCCTTTTCTCCCCGTCTTTCGCCTCCGCCAGTTGGCTCGGCAGAAGGCGGGCGAGATCTTGCCGACAGATCTGGAGGCATCTTTTGGGGTGTGGGGTTGGGATGTTTAGGGTTTAGGCTTTAGGCTTTAGGCTTTAGGCTTTACGGTTTAGGGTTGAGGGTTGAGGGTTGGGGGTTGAGGGTTGGGGGTTGAGGGTTGAGGGTTGACCCTAGCCAAAACCATGCTGGTCCCTTCAATCTCTTGATCTATGGGCCTTTGCGTGGTATCGGGCATGTAACGGGTATTCGTCTGCCTCAGAGCCTAAACCCTTAACGCCTACTAAACCCTAAACCCTAAAACCTCGAAACCCTCACACCTCTAAGCCTTAAACCCTAAACCCCTAAACCCTAAACCCCAAAGCCGAATCCCCAAAAATCCAGCTCCCCGTCCCCAAGCAAGACAAACAACACCGAAACCCTAAACCCTAAACCCTAAACTCCAAGCCCTAAACCCTAAACCCTAAACCCTCAACCCCAAACCCTAAACCCTAAACCCTATCTCCAGCTCCCTGTCCCCAAGCAAGGCAGGCTGGGATCTCCTCGACCCCAACGACAAAGGAGAGTGGCTGCCGCAGGCCTCGGGGCCGGGCTTCGGGTTTGGGGTTTAGGGTTTCGGGCTACAGGCCATAGGTTTGGGATTTAGGGTTTAGGGCTACAGGTTTGTGGTTTAGGGTTTAGGGCTATGGGGTTGGGGTTTAGGGTTTAGGGCTAGAGGCTTGGGGTCTAGGGTTCAGGGTTTAGGGTTTGTTAGGGTTTGGTATGGGCTTAGGGTCTAGGGTTACAGGGTTATCGGCCCCTGTAGAGTTAGATGGTACACATCCCCTATACCCGCTTAGTCCCAGTGTTTCGGGTTCGATGGACCCTAGACCCTTTTGCGGTTGATTCCGTCCCCAAGTATTTTAGGATTTTAGGGTCCAGGATTTGTCTCTGCCTCGCGGCACTGTCTGCACAAGATGGTTGTAAACGAGCGCACGTGACCGCTCTGTGCGCGCTGTGTTGTATCAGCTGAACGAAACTAAGCCCTGAACCCTCCACCCGAATCCTAAAGCCTACCAACCCTACTCAAGCCCATGTATAAACCCTAAAGCCTAAACCCAAATCCTTGTATCTGCAGTCCTTCAACCCCATTACAAACCGGTTTGGGTCACCCGGCAGGAGGGGGAGGGGAGGCCACAGTGAGTAGGGTAAACCCAAACCACCCTACGCCCAGTACAGGCGCTCAATTTTCACAGCGGCTACTTCCTCATGCAGCGAGTGTCCAGCTCAACTGGTTACCGTAAACCCGAAACCCTAAACCCTAAACCCTAAACCCTAAACCCCAAGCCCCAAACCTAAACCGGAGCTACCTGAACTGACTGCCATGTGCTACGGCGTGGGGGAGTGGGGGGGGGCGCCCGGATCCGACTGCCGCCCTTCCTTAGCCAGGGCAGGCGGCTGGTTTGGATTCTTTCGTCGTGAACCCTAAACCCCGAACCCCAAAACCCTAAACTAACCCTAACAACCCCTAACTGTCTGCAAGTGCAAGATGGTGGTTTCACGCTATCACCAAGCCGGACTCCACCACAATCAATCGCTGGCCTAAACCCCAGAATGTTTGTTGTTTAGGGCCGCACAACCTCCAAAGCCCTGACGACGTCGCAGCGACGCATCTGCTTGGGAGGATCCCATCGCATTCCTGAGGGCAGATGCGCAGTGGGCCTTGCACTGAGTTCTTCAGGTTTCGTTGTTGTGTTTAGCCCTTAACCCTAAACCCTAATAGGGTTTGAGGAGGCAGGTTGTATTTCAAAGGGCTTCGGAATGAACTGGGCTCTAGCGTTTAGGGGTCTTTGGGGTTCTGCTTCGGGGTAGGGCGCCTCCCATGACAGGCGCAGGGCAGGTTTGGGGTTTAGGGTTTACGGTTTACGGTTTACGGTTACTGGCTTTGTGCTGCAGGCTATTTTCTTTGCGTGAAAGTAGTTAAGTTTCATAAACGAAACGAAAGTGAGAAATGGGAAAGAACATGACATCCTGTTCGCAACGTTGTGACTCATGATCACTCTTTGGTTTCACTCACAGCTATCTACCCAAAATCATTCATTCCTTGGTCATCTACTAATCTGCTTTAAGAACCCCCCCCCCCGAGAAACAACACAATAATCCCTGTACTACCCTTATGTGGAAGAACATGCTTATGTCTTACCCTAAGAACCTTAATTCTCAAAATGGCCGAGTCTTTCGATCTCGACTATCTACAGGTACATGGACCCTAGACCCCCAAAAACCCAGAACCCTAAACCCTTGAACCGAAAAACCTAAACCTGAAACCCTACCTGATATTCAAAGCACCCTCCGTAGTAGGGTACTTAAGGGGCTTAGAAGTGGGTTATAGCTACATTTCGAATGGGTTACTAAGTACCCTGAACCTCCGAGTAGGGTACCAAGAGCCGAGGCAACGCTGCTTGCAGATGTGCAAGGTGGCGAAGAGCGTGCCCCAGGCAAGGTTTTTTGCAACATCGTTGCTGTTTCAGGCTGCGGGCGTTGGGGGGAGTTTTGGGGCTTAGGGTTTCGGGCCCTGAACCCCAGGACCTGTCGTGTGTATTCCTCATAGAAACCAGTTCAGTTCGCCGGTTGTGTAAGATAGACCGGTTCAATTCTGAGACCCAGAACCCTAAACCCCTAACGCCCAATCAAACCCCTAAACCCGACATCCTAAACCGCAAAGAACTCTCCACCCTAGTAGACCTAAACCCTAAACCCTAAACCCTAAACCCTAGTAGCCCTGAAAGCCCGATTGGAAGCTACCTTGGGCTTGAGGTTTAGGGGTGTGAGCTCCTCGGCACGGCAGGTAGTTGCATGTAGCGTTCTAAGTACCCTAGATAGGGTTTAGGGTTGAGGGTTTAGGGTTTGCGGTTTAGGTTTTAGGGTTTAGGGTTTAGGGTTTGGGGTTTGGGGTTTGGGTTATGCGTATAGTTATCATACTTAGAGCCCTACCTATAACTGCCCGTGAACCTCCAAGTAGGGGTCTTGTTAGCTCCTGGGGTTTGAGGGGGTGGACGGGTGTGAGGGCAGGTTTAGGGCACTAGTTCCTTATCCTTATCCTAAATCCTAAACCCTAAACCCTAAACCCTAAGCCCTAGGTTTTGAGGGAGTTTAGGGGTGGGGGGGGGGGGGTTCCGGGACTTACGACTGGTTAGTTCTCAGGCCTAAACCCTCAGCCCTACTTGGAGGTTCATGGTACTTAATAACCAATTCTAACTCTACTTTTCGCCATATTAGGGCACTTAAGGGGCTTATAAGTGGGTGATACGTACATTTATCATTGGTTAATAAGTACCATGAACCTCCAAGTAGGCCCCTTCCTGGGTACCCCAAATACGAGGGGACGCCGTTAGAATAAGGACCCCCAAAATTAGAGAACTCGCGATATCGGGGTTCGGGGTTTTAGCTCGGGATGTGGGGTTTTGGGGGATTTGGGGTTGAGGTGTTTAGGAATGGGGTTTCGGGGTTAGTGCTTTTAGGGGTGTCGGGGTGTGGGGGTTTCGGGGTTCCGAGTTTAGGGGGGCCCTGTAGGATGGAACTTGCATGCCCCTGGCCGGAGGCACAGAAGAGCTGGGGGCACCGTGCCCAGAGAACGGGCCTAGGGTTTAGGGTTAGGGTTGGGGTTGGGTATCGCAGGTGCTGTAAGTCTAGGGAGATTAGGGTTTCGGGCTTAAGAACACTCTTAGGGTTCAGGGTTGAGGGTCTAGGGTGCAGGGTCTAGGGTTCTTACCATGTTGAGAGGGTTAAGAACGAATCTGTGAGTAGGGTGTTCCTCCATGCAAACGGTGCATGGTGAAAACATTGGCCTGCGTGAGGTTTTCGAGACTTTCTCAACACGTCCTCTGTTTGCTTTGTGTGTTGCCATACGTTCCGATTGCGGCGTTTTGAACGACCAAACGGGATGGCCCATTTGGTGCATGGTTTTCGTGCGTGTCTTGTGCGACGTCTCGAAAAGTGTGGCTTGTGTGGCAGAATCGAAACATGTTTCATGACCTTCCTCCGTTATCTTCTAGCCACGCAGGCCTGGTTCTCTGTATTGCATTGCACAGCGCAGGCTGTTGTGTTTGGCTTTTTTAAGTTCAGGATTCTCTGCTTGGGGTCTATAGCGGTGGTTCATGGTTTTGAGTCGGGGGTTTGGGCCTCTGCTTCTTGGAAAGACAAAGGATGCTGACCAATTACACAACCCCAACCTTTCACACCAAAAACAAACTCTCAACAATTGTTTTTTCTGGCCTCTAAAACACGAAACCCTGTAAATTACGATGTAAACCCACCTCCGTAACTGAACCCGTCGGGGGGTTTCGGGTTTAGGGTTTAGGGTTTTAAGGCCTGTTGCAACTAGCTGCCACCCACCAGAGGAACCCCTCGATGGCTCTACCTCTTTCTATGATTTACCTCTTGGAAGGCTGCTAAGAAACCTGCGTCCCAAAGCCTAAAGCGTGAAACCCCTAAACCCCCAAACCCCAAAACCCTAAACCTTCCAAACCCTACTCAAGTGTATTTGCCTGTGTCATGCTTGGGTGTTGATCAAAAGGTCCTTGTTGGAGTTTTTATGTAAAACCTACATTTCAAGGATGCTTAAGTGTCCGCGAAAGATCCGCGAAGGGGGAGTGCGAAAGGAAGTTCATTTTTGGCGAAAGTTTTGACGTAAGGCTCCTGTTTGCTATGCTTCCGCGGCATAAGGCTCGTTGTCGTCTCTCGCCTCGGTCGGACCACACTACACGCAGTGAGGGTCTAGGGTTTATTTAGTGTTTAGGGTTTGAGGATTTAGGGTTTAGGAATCCGTTTACGAAGCCTAATTTTGCGAAACATTGGCGCAAGCTCCGCGAAAGTCCCGTGAAAGTCTAACGTATCCCATGAAGTGCCCAGCCCGCGTGGCATCTGCTCATGCAAGAAGTGTGCATGTGTGCAGCTGTACTACGTAGGCGCCATGGATGTCATTATATAGGTCTTGGGGTTCTGGAGTGCGCGCGATTAGGCGCGCTAAAGTTCCGCGAAAGGAAATTTAATTTTGGCGAAAGACACCTTTACGGGACAAAGTGATTTTGATTAACTGCCATAATATATATATATATATATACATGCATACATAGCAAGCAACAATCATAACCCTAAATCCAAATCCTAAAGCCTAATTTCCAAACACTGAACCCCCAGCCCCAAACCCTAAACCCTAAACCCTAAACCCGAAACCCCTAAGCCCTAAACCCCAAACTCCCCATCCCTAAACCCTAAGCCCCAATCCTAAACCCTAAACCCCAATCCCTGAACCCTAAACCTCAAACCCCAAACCCTAAACCCCAATCCCTAAACCCCAAACCCTAAACCCTAAACCCCAAACCCCAAACCCTAAATCCTAAACACCCTAATCCGGAAACTGCGTAGGTGGTGCAGTTCAGCTTGGAGGGATCCAAGGGGGTAGCTCTCTGCATGTCAGTCCTTGTAGGTTTAGGGTTTAGGGTTTAGCGTTTGGGGTTTGGGGTTTAGGGTTATATCCCAGTACGGAGCCTTAGTGTAGGTTTTGAGCCTTTTGGGTATTTAGGGGTGTTTACGGTATTTTGGGGTATCTGGAGGTATTTAGGGTAATTTAGGGTTTTCAGGTTTAGGGCCCCAAAAAAGGATTTCGAGAGATTTTTGGCCAAGTGAGGTTCCAACTCCAATGAAGAGCGAGATCCTGACCAGGACGCCTGGAGACAAGGCTGGTTCAGGCTTTTGGGGGCTTGGAGTTTAGGGTTTTAGAATAAAGGTTTGGGGTTTGGGGTTTGGGGTTTAGGGTTTATTAGGGTTTCGGGTTTAGGGACACCTGAAGACGGGTTTCGGGGTTTGGGGTGTCAGTGTTTTAGGGATTCGGGCTTAGGTTTTTCGGGTTGTCCACCCTAAACCCTAAACCCTAAACCCCAAACCCCAAACCCTAAACCCTAAATTTGGGGTTTGAGGTTTTAGTCGGAGGCATGGCTGATTTGGGGTTTCGGTTGGAGGGCCTCGGGTTTCGGGCGGCAGAGACAACTCCTGCAATGTCAGGGCTGTTGCATGCTCAGCCCTTGGTGATATCTCTGGGTATGATGTCATGCAGCATGAACATCCTTCAAACTTCCCGCAAACCCCAAACCCTAAACCCTAAAGTTTAGATGGAAAACATCGCTAGCGATTTAAAATCGAATGTGATTTGGATTGAAAATCACGGGCCCCAAGTCGTTCGCGATTTGGAATGTGGTTCTGCAGACAAGGCTCCAAAAGACCCCCGAAAAGGCTTCGGCAAAATGCGTTTTCGGAGGCTTGGGAAATGCATTACTTAAGGCCTACACCCTAAACCCTAAATCCTAAACCCTAAACCCTAAACCCTAAACCCTAAACCCTAAGCCTTAACAACCTGGGGCCGCAAAGGCACCTTACATCCAAGTTCCCCCAATGCTAAGGGGGACAGTTTAGGGTTTAGGTTTGGGGTTCTGGGTTTAGCTGACACTGAAAACCCAGACCCTAAACCCTAAACCCTAAACCCTAAACCCTAAACCCTAAACCCTAAACCCTAAACCCTAAACCCTAAACCCTAAACCCTAAACCCTAAACCCTAAACCCTAACCCTAACCCTAAACCCTAAACCCTAAGCCCCTCGGGAGAGGCCCCGGTGAAGTGCGAGCCGTCAGCGCCGATCACGGCCAAGTCGGGTTCGCAGGCGGCTGCGCGGCCGGTGAAGAAGGCCTTCTCGGGTTGAGGGTTTAGGGTTTAGGGTTTAGGGTTTAGGGTTTAGGGTTTAGGGTTTAGGGTAAAGTTTACAGGGTTTAGGATTTGGAGGGTTCGTAGGGTTTACAGGGTTTGGAGGGTTTGGAGGGTTTGGAGGGTTTGGAGGGTTTACAGTGTTCGTAGGGCTTGTAGGGCTTGTACGAGGTTTACAGGGTTTATAGGGTTTGTAGGGGTACTGGTTTTGGCAATCAAGTTGTTAGGGTGCCGGAGAGCTGGTAGGAAGGCCATGTGATTCTGAGTATTTGGGAGGTCTGATTAGCGTGTCGTACACCCTAAACCCTAAACCCCAAACCCTATTCAACTTGATAGCTCACGGCTAGTTACAAGTAAGGTTGTTTAGTCGTAGGATAGCTAGCCATGGGTACTTACTACTGGGAGGAGGAGGCTTAGGGTTTAGGGTGTAGGGTTTAGGGTTTAGGGTTAACTGCCCAAATCCCTACACCGAGGAGGTACAGGAGCTTCGTGGGGCGTAAGCGGCTGTTGGGCCGAGGATTTCTACAGTGTTTGTTCAGGGTTCAGGGTTCAGGGTTTGGGGTTTAGGGTTTAGGGTTGGGGTTTAGGGTGTCTCAATGAGCGGGCGCGCTGGTGCTGAAAGCGCCCAGGCGCGCCTAAGCCTTAAGCCCACCCCCGCTGGCGCTCCACCCTCGCCTTAACCTCTATGGGTTTAGGGTTCTTTTGAACTCTGATCGTGATGTGTTTCTCGGATGGTTGGGTTTATAAGCCCGGCATCGATGCAGATCAAGTACGCTTAAGTTCGCACCCCCTTGGCGTTGCACGGGATGATGGCCATCATTCGGCTTCTGGAAAAACCAAAAAAACTCAGAGGTTTGGGATTGGAGTTGGCTGCCGCCTTCGCCCAGCTGGGAGCCTCTGGGACCCTGCGAGGCGCTTCCTGGCAACCAGGCAGGGGAGCCTGTGTATTTGAGGCAGGGGCCTCGGCAGACTCCTCCGAGGGGACCTCACAAAGAGTCCCCATGTTTTCATTGGTTTGGGTAAAACGTTACCGGGTTTGTTGCTACATGATTTATGCCTGGGGTTTAGAGTTCCAAGTGGTCGGAACTTTGGGGTGTAACGTTTCAACCCTAGACCCTAACCCCTAAAACCCTCAACCTTGAAACCCTAAACCCCCCAAGCACGGGGCTTTAGAGCGTCTAGATCAACAGGGCTATGATGTGCGGGTAGGGAGGAAGAGGGGGAGGGCTCCCGTCTTGAATGGCTAAACCCTAAGCGAACGCGCCGAAGCGGGCAGGCGAGGCAGCTCAAGCCCTCGGGCGGGCGACGGAGCTCCAGTCCCGCAGGCAATTGCGGGCTGCGCGGTGGACCCGGCAGGTCGCTGGCGAGAAACCCGTCAGGTCGCCCTAGAAAAAGATGAAAGAATATAAGGCCGGTTACTTTGCGAACATGCAACGAAGTGTTCTACTACTTGGACCGAAATCCGCATCCACCGGGATACTCATGGATTAGTAAAGGATTTCTCTAGGATGGCTTTACTAGGTACCCCAAACCCTAAAACCCTAAACCCTAAACCCCTCAATGAGAAAAGCTTCTTGAGAGGAGCCGGCCGCTCCAGCGACGCATTCTGATGCACCGAAAGCAGGCATGTTGGGCCTAAAGTTCCGGTTTAGGGTTTAGGGTTCCAGGGTTTAGGGTAAAGGGTTTAAAGGGTTTCAAGGGTTTAAAGGGTTTAAAGGGTTTACAGGGTTTAAAGGGTTTAAAGGGTTTAAAGGGTTTAAAGGGTTTAAAGGGTTTAAAGGGTTTAAAGGGTTTAAAGGGTTTAAAGGGTTTAAAGGGTTTAAAGGTTTTGGGGTTTGGGGTACCTAGCTCTAACCCTAATCTCAAACCTGAACCCCCAAACTCTAAACCCTAAACCCTTGTCTTCTCTCTGCTGCCCTCTCGTCACTGATGGGCACGGGCAGGGCCGAGACCCTATATCCTATACTCCTAAACCCAAACAACCGTAGACTCCTAAGCCCCAAACCAAAAAAACCCCAAACTCCTGAACCCTAAACCCAAATCGCCCTAAACTCCTCAACTTAAACCTTAAGCCCTAAACCCAAACCTTGGTAGCTTTGTAGTAGGTGGCCACAAGCACTCCGTGAGGCGTTCCGCAACCTCCTGGCCCTCTTGTTCCACAAGAGGCAGGGAAGAGAAACCCTGAGCCCTACACCCTAAACCCTAAACCCTAAACCCTACACCCTAAACCCTAAGCCCTAAGCCCTAAACTTCTTAAACCCTAAACCCCAAACTTCCTAAACCCTACACCCGCCCTTTTGCACTCACCCGGTCCGGGATTGAAGATGCTAAGTGCCCTGTTTTAAGGTTTTGGGGGTTTAGGGTTTAGGGTTTAGGGTTTAGGGTTTAGGGTGTGCCCGTCAGACCCTCATTGAGGGGTACTTCGGGAGTGCAGATTTGTTTGGGGCTGTCGCGTTTACGTCTTAGAGGCCCGCATGTGTAAAGTACCTGAGAAAAAGATCTCTCTCTCTCTCTCTATATTATATATATATATATATGTGATACCTATAACTAAGTAGGCCTATAACTATCTATACTTATAACCCTATTCAGGGTACTTAAACCCCTCCTTACAGACATACATACCCTAGACCCTGATCCCTAGACCCTTCAGCACACCTATCCGGGGGGGGTTTAGTTGGAAGATGCGTCTATGGACATGAATAGAGGCTTGCTGGGGTCTAGCCCTAAACCCTAAACCCCAAACCCTAAACCCTAAACCCCAAACCCGAAACCCGAAACCCTGAAACCCTAATTCTTTTGTGAAGGCGGCATTTGCAGCTCCACCGGCCGAGAAGGCAGCACCCCAGGCGGCGAAATGTTGACTTGGAAGCGTTAAGGTTTAGGGTTTAGGGTTCAGGGTTTAGGGTTTACCTACAGAACCCAGACCCGCAAAAAAAGTAGGGTCCGGCCCCGAATCCGGGGTCTCGCAGTCAAACCCGGGGTTTGCCCAAGACCTCAAAACCCTTGACCGGGTCACGGGTAAATCACGGGTTTGGCACGGGCAAATCACGGGTTGGGCACGGGTAAACCCGGGGTTTATGCGGTACCAAGGCAGGTTCCCGTAAGAAGGAAACGGCCCCAAAAAGAGGTACCCTTGTCATAAGACGGTTCTTCTGGGCTACCAAGAACCCTAAACCCTAAACCCTAAACCCGAAACCCTAAACCCGAAACCCGAAACCCGAAACAGCTAGCTGGCTTCGAGCAAGCGCATGGTCCAGACCGCGGGGCGCCGAACGGCCACATGTACCCAAAGAGCCCAATACCCCTTAATTCAAGAATATACGGTAATTTGTTTAGGGATGCTTAATATGATTTAGGTATATTCCTTAATTAAAGGGTATTGGGCTCTTGGGTACTGTACCTACCCCCGGTGACTCGATGTTGGAAGAACCCCTCAGTATTGACAGACTGTTTGGGGGAAGAAACTTGCCCCGAAGCTTCTGTTACCCTGGATTTTTTGATTCAGTCACACTGTTGGGTAGAAGCTCTTGTCTCTGTAGACGACTTTGGCACAGCGGCTAGAGTTGTTTTCATGTCTGGGCACTTCTCACAAGCGGGGTACCCTTCTTGAGGGTTCTTTAATGTGATTGTAGCGTTTTGGGGGTCCCCTAATTTTGGGAACTGCCTTTTTGTGTATAATCAGGGATACAAGATATGTGTTGTTTTCTAGGGTTTCAAAAGTTGGGTTGAGATTCGAGACCCGGACTCTCCAGCATCAGGCGCCCACGGACAAGGAATCAGAGAAGCAGAAGCAAGGCTGAAGAGTTCGGGAGATTTTGGGCTTTTAGCTTGGGGTGTATAGGGTTAAGGGTTAAGGGTTTAGGGTCTGGGGTTTGGGGTTTTGGGCTTGCGGGTGCTGAATGTGACGGCTTTTCGAGCGCTGCTGATAACTTGCTCTGGAAGTTGATGCATTTATGCATAAATCTTTGCGTCACTTCCTGCTTTGAACTAGTCTTGCATAGTGGCTGGTATCCGTGTCACTCCGGTAGGTCCTTTCAAACTTAGGAAGCCGCGGCGTTGAATTCGAGCTTGAGAATTTAGGGTTGAGAATTCCAAACACAATGGTTTTGCGCATTTTGCTTGTAAGCCCAAAGCTTTTCAAACCATAATCTTAGGCAGCCACACGGCCGGCCATGACAATTTCGGTTGATGTGCATCTGCTTAGTGGCAAGAGGGTCTCTCTGGAGATTGAGGAAGATGCGTCTGTGGAAGACTTGAACCAAAGGGCCCAACACGCTCTGGGTGTTGGCAAGGGGCGGCTGTTGAGTGCCGAGGGCCACGTACTGGACGCAGCACAGACAGTTAAGCGGGCACGGATACAGCGCGGTAATGAGCTATGCCTGCAAGTACGACTGCCGCAAGTCACAACTTTGACATTCAATGATATAGTATTTGCTGTTCATCACACTCATGCTTTTGCCGCGATCCTGGGCGATGGATCTGTTGTGACCTGGGGCCGTGCTGATTTGGGTGGCGACAGCAGCCAAGTGCAAGCTCAGCCGAAGGGTGTGCAATACGTCCAAGCTTCTCGACGTGCTTTTGCCGCAATCCTGCATGACGGCTCTGTTGTGACCTGGGGCCGTGCTGATTCGGGTGGCGACAGCAGCCAAGCGCAAGCTCAGCTGAAGGGTGTGCAGCACATCCAAGCTTCTGCATATGCTTTTGCCGCACTGCTGCACGACGGATCTGTTGTGACCTGGGGCCGTGCTGATGTGGGTGACGACAGCAGCCAAGTGCAAGCTCAGCTGAAGGGTGTGCAATGCATCCAAGCCTCTCGACATGCTTTTGCCGCAATCCTGCATGACGGATGTGTTGTGACCTGGGGGCGTACAGATTCGGGTGGAGACTGCAGCCAAGTGCAAGCTCAGCTGAAGGGTGTGCAATACATCCAAGCTTCTCGGCATGCTTTTGCCGCAATCCTGCATGACGGATCTATTGTGACCTGGGGGCGTACAGATTCGGGCGGCGACAGCAGCCAAGTGCAAGCTCAGCTGAAGGGTGTACAATACATCCAAGCTTCTATGTTTGCTTTTGCCGCAATCCTGCGCAACGCAACTGTTGTGACCTGGGGGCGTACAGATTCGGGTGGCGACAGCAGCCAAGTGCAAGCTCAGCTTAGGGGTGTGCAGCACATCCAAGCTTCTGCATATTCTTTTGCCGCAATCCTGCATGACGGATCTGTTGTGACCTGGGGCCGTGCTGATGGTGGTGGCGACAGCAGCCAAGTGCAAGCTCAGCTGAAGGGTGTGCAATACATCCAAGCTTCTCGACATGCTTTTGCCGCAATCCTGCATGTCGGATCTGTTGTGACCTGGGGGCGTACAGATTCGGGTGGCGACAGCAGCCAAGTGCAAGCTCAGCTGAAGGGTGTGCAATACATCCAAGCTTCTCTGCATGCTTTTGCCGCAATCCTGCAAGATGGATCTGTGGTGACCTGGGGGCGTACAGAGTCGGGTGGCGACAGCAGCCAAGTGCAAGCTCAGCTGAAGGGTGTGCAGCACATCCAAGCTTCTCCGTTTGCCTTCGCCGCAATCCTGCGTGACGGATCTGTTGTGACCTGGGGCAATGCTGATTCGGGTGGCGACAGCGGATCTGTGCAAGCACATCTGAGGGGCGCGCATCACATTTGTGGATGAACCCTGACAGATTTCTTGTATCTGGGCCCAAAGCACTCGAAAGCTCCACCCCTAGCCTGGGCAAGGCGCCCGGAAGGCTGGTTCCCCGACCTAAGCCTAAAGCCCTAAACCACATGTTAACACCTAAGACCCCAACGCCTGTCTAAACCTCAACAAACACACTAGGGGCGAACTGAAAGCCTAAACACGAATCACTGGCAACACAGGCGGATCTAGGACTCTCTTTTGGGTGCAAGGGGTCAGAAGGCCTGCTAGGATGCCCAGTAGTGCCCTTATTCCCTTTTTGGGGGCTCTAGGTTCCCCTATTAAACCCTTTAAGCAAAAAACGGGCACCCTTTTTAATCCTAGGTTACTGGACAACCTAGCCTGTGGTTCTGAACTCAAGCTCTAGGAGCTGTCTTGGGTTTCAGATAGAACCCTAAACCCTCAACCCGAAGACCCCAAACCCTAAACCCTAAACCCTAAACCCTAAACCCTAAACCCTAAACCCTAAACCCTAAACCCTAAACCCTAAACCCTAAACCCTAAACTCCCCATCAGATCTCCACCGCAGGATTTGGGCGATCGAACTTTTGAATCAGAGTAAAGGGTCATTGGTATTGAGGCGATGGGTGCCCTAAGCCCTAAATCTTAAGTCCTAAACCCTAAACTCTAAACCCTAAACCCTAAACCCTAAACCCTAAACCCTAATACCAAAACAGGGTGCATGGTTGGGGAACACATGAAAACCAGGGTTTCGTTTAGGGATTGGAGTTTAGGGTTTTCAGGAACATGTTCATATGCTTCCCAGGGTCCATGATCGGACCCTAAGTCTTTGCCCTAAATCGTAAACTATAAACTTGGGATGCGCTCTTTGATGATTCAAGGGACTAAGGCAGGGACCTTTGCAAGGGGTCTGAGGATTTCGGTATCTTTCGGGACTATGTAAGGATGTATAGGAATAAGATTCAGGGTCCCGTCTAGGAGTCCCGCCTTAGAGGAAACAAGTTTATATTACTGGTATTGGTGAGTGTATATAAGGTTCCTTTTTAATACTGGTGAGTGTATATATTTGGTGTCCTTGTGGGGGTACAAGAAATATAAACCCTACTTCATATCCCTTCGTATCAGGCCGTGTGCCAAAGAAGTTGACGAAGCCTCACACACTACAGTATGAGCTCGAATCCGCCCCTGCTCTTAAACTTCAGGGTTCAGGGTTTAGGGTTTGCAGGGTTCGAGGCTCAGCCCTAATTTACCCTCAACCCTCAACCCTCAGCCCTAAACCCTAAACCCTAAACCCTAAACCCTAAACCCTAAACCCTAAACCCTAAACCCTAACACCGAATGATGGGGCGCCAGGAGGCTCGATGTCGCCCCCTCGCGCCATTCCTCCACAGGGAGCAGAGGAGAAGAAGGCAACTCCCCAGAGATTTAGAACCCTAAACCCTAAACCCTAAACCGTAAACCCTAAACCCTAAACCCTAAACCCTAAACCCTAAACCCTAAACCCTAAACCATAGCTCCAAACCCTAAGCCCCAAACCCTAAGCCCTAAGCCCTAAGCCCTAAACTCTTGTACCCGAAGCCTCCATCCTACTAGTAGGGAAGTATGAAGGGTTCAGCCCACGCTGTCTGTATGTGACACCGGGGTTAGGGTTTAGGGTGTAGCTTAGGGTTTAGGGTTTAGGGTGTAGGGTTGCGGTACCCTTTTTGGGTTGAAGGTTCAGGGTTTTGGGTTGAGGGATGAAAGCAATCAACACTAAAAACGGCACCTTTCTCTCAACAGATGTTTACCGGGCTACCTAGACAAGATAGGCTACCCAAGTCTCTGTTAGCCTAAGCTAACAAGAACTCCTCGCGTTTGCGCGTGTTTCTTAGATTGTTCTTGAGCAGCATAGGGTCTTTGATAACCTCTGCAATGAGGAGGGTGCTAAACGAGGGACCCACGATAAACAAATCCCAAGCCCTAAACCTTAAGCAGATCTAAACCCTAAATCTTAAACCCTAAACCCTAAACCCTAAACCCTTGCCCTGGCAGTGCTAAGACATGCTTGGAAGTTCATGTCGCAAGCTACGACTAGGCAGCCCAGTACATTTTTTGTTTTTTTGCGATTTAGGGTTTAGGGTTTTTTGTTTAGGGTTTAGAGTTTAGGGTTATAGGTTCCATGAATTAAACGCCTTTAAGCACTATCAGGTTCGTACCTTGGGATGTTTCCCATTTTTCTAACAGTCCTTAATAGGGTTTATAGCACCACCTTTTAGAATACCGACTAAGGACTGCTAGTAGAAGGGTGAACATCCCAAAATATCAGGTGGACACTTTAAAACCTAAACCCCTAAACCCCTGACCTCAAACCTACCCCCTCAAACCACCCTGAACCCTGAAACCGGAGAAAAAAACAAAAACAGCCCTAACCAACCCCACGATCCTCAACCCTAAGACCCTAAGATCCTAAACCCCAAACCCTAAACCCTAAACCCTAAACCCTAAACCCTAAACCCTACATGTTGTCCACTGCGGGAGGCACCTGAAGTCGCGCCCAAGGCACCTGAAGTGCAGGACTGCTGTGGGGGATACTTGGGGTTTAGGGTTTGGGGTTTAGGGTTTAGGGTTTGGGGTTTAGGGTTTTGGGGTTTAGGGTTTAGGGTTTTAGGATTTTAGGGTTCGTGGTTTGGGGTTTAGGGTTTTAGTTTTTAGGGTTCAGGGTTTGATGTGCTTAGGGTTTAGGGTTTTAGGGCACTCGGGGGGAGAATACGCTTGGCCACGACACAGCAAATCATGGTCACGTCTCTGAAAGATGCTCCTTTGTGGGAGGTTCCTTCATATAAGGCGGCCCCGATCATTGGGCACCCCAAAAGGGACGATCATGTGGAGAACTGACCATCATCATCATCATCATCATCATCATCATCATCATGATCATACTTGCTCGTTCGTCACGCCCGGCTAATCAAGAGGAAGTGAGATGAATCAAGTTGTTGGCTGCTGAAACACAGAGAAGGATCGGGGTTCAGGGCTTAGAGGGGATTTAGGGCGTAAGGGCGCAACCCTAGCGTTCACAACCAAAACCCTAGGCCCTAAACCTCGGGTTAAGAGCCTTAGGGCCAGGTCAAGGTCCAGAATCTCTGGCTCTAAACCCTTAACCCCAAACCCTAAATCCACAACCCTCAACTGTAAACCCTAAACCCTAAAATCCCTAAACCCTAAACCCTAAACCCTAAACCCTAAACCCTAAACCCTAAACCCAACCATGGCCTTGGCACAGGCGAAGGCGGTGCCTGAGCCTACCCGGCGCAGCAGGTGGGGCGACCCACAGAACTCAACGGCCTCGTTTAGGGTTTAGGGTTTAGGGTTTAGGGTTTAGGGTGTAGGGTGTAGGGTTTAGGGTTTAGGGTTTAGGGTGTAGGGTTTAAGCCCTAAGCGACCCCGCAGACCTCAACGGCCTCTCGACCCTTCTCTGGGTTTGGGGTTATAAGGTTTGGTGTTTAGGGTTTAGAGTTTGGAAGTTGAGGTTTTCCCTAAAACTGAAAGCCCTAAACCCTAGGGTTTAGGGCTAGGGGACCCTCAGCCCTAAACCCCACTAAACCTTCTCTAAATTACCCGAAACCCGATGCCTGGGGACCACTGTCTCGTAACCCTAAGCCCTAAACCCTAAACCCTATAAACCCTAAACCCGATGCCTGGGGCCTAAACCTTCCCTACATCTCTGCATGCAGACGAAGCCGCGGAACCCCGGGCACCCAAATCCCCAAGCCCTAAACCCTAGTTTAGGGCTTTTAGGGTTTAGGGTTTAGGGTTAGGGTTTAGGGTTTAGGGTTTAGGGTTTAGTTTTTGGGCTACCCGGCTACCAAGTTCTCAAGCCGCGCTATACACGCAGAGATGAGGCAAGTATGTGCCTAGACGTCCCCTTGAGAAGGTATACTTGCGGATATACGGTGCCGAGTTCCCGGTTTAGGGTTTAGGGTTTAGGCTTTAGGGTTTAGGGGTTAGGGTTTAGGGTTACTTATGTTCCTTTTAGAAGAACCTGCAAGTGAACCAGAGTCTGCACTCACTTTTGCACCATTCTTCGTCGAGTCTTGCCTCAGTGCAAGCGCCAGCATGGGGCTGTTGACCATCCACTGTCTTGCCGGCTCCACGCTCGAGCTCCATGTGGACGATGTGGAAACGGGGCTGGATGTGCGGCGACGCGTCGCAGGAAGTGTTGGCCTTTCCGCATCGTCAATCGTGCTGACTTCAGGTGAGCGTATATTTTCCCTTATTGGGTAATTGGGTTTAGGGTTTAGGGTTTTTTAGGGTTTAGGGTTTAGGGTTTAGGGTTTGGGGTTTAAGAGGTGACCGTCTCCTTGAACTGACCCAGCCGCTGCTGCCACAAATTCAAAGCCAAGAGCTCACATATGTGGTGCGGAAATTTGGCGCAGGCTGCGCGGCACGCAGTATCGAGCAAGAATTAACGAGGACAGGATTGAATCAAGACATGGATGCCATGCATGCCGTTGTTGCCTTGACCTTCAGCATAGACTTCAACCAGAGCTTGCAAGGGGTGCAGCTTCCCAGCGGCCTACAGACCTTGACCTTCGGCCAGTATTTCAACCAGAGCTTGGAAGGGGTGCAGCTTCCTAGCAGCTTACAGACCTTGACCTTCGGCAGGCGCTTTGACCAGAGCTTGGCAGGGGTGCAGCTTCCCAGCGGCCTGCAGACTTTGAACTTTGGCTTCAGTTTCAACCAGCATTTGGAAGGGGTGCAGCTTCCCAACGGCTTGCAGACCTTGACCTTCGGCTATAATTTCAACAAGAGCTTGAAAGGGGTGCCGCTTCCCAGCGGCCTACAGACTTTGATCTTCGGCATAGGCTTTGACCAGAGCTTGGAAGGGGTGAAGCTTCCCAGCAGCCTACAGACCTTGACCTTCGGCGAAAGATTTGACCAGTGCTTGGAAGGGGTGCAGCTTCCCAGCGGATTGCAGACCGTGACCTTCGGCATGGGCTTCGAGCTCTGCTTGGAGAGGGTGAAGCTTCCCAGCGGCCTACAGACCTTGACCTTCGGCAGACGCTTCAATCAGAGCTTGGCAGGGGTGCAGCTTCCCAGCGGCGTACAGACTTTGACCTTCGGCAATAACTTCAACCAGGGCTTGGAAGGGCTGCACCTCCCCAGCGGCCTACAGACCTTGACCTTCGGCATGAACTTCAACCAGAGCTTGGAAGGGGTGCAGCTTCCCAGCGGCCTACAGACCTTGACCTTCGGCGACAGATTTGACCGGAGCTTGGAAGGGGTGCAGCTTCCCAGCGGCCTACAGACCTTGACCTTCGGCATGAACTTCAACCAGAGCCTGGAAGGGGTGCAGCTTCCCCGCAGCCTACAGACCTTAACCTTTGGCTCGCATTCCAACCAGAGCCTGGAAGGGGTGCAGCTTCCCAGCGGCCTACAGACTTTGAACTTTGGCTTCAGTTTCAACCAGCATTTGGAAGGGGTGCAGCTTCCCAGCGGCCTGCAGACCCTGAGCTTCGGCCATGATTTCAACCAGATCTTGGAAGGGGTGCAGCTTCCCAGCGGCCTACAGACTTTGATCTTCGGCATAGGCTTTGACCAGAGCTTGGAAGGGGTGAAGCTTCCCAGCGGCCTACAGACCTTGACCTTCGGCGAAAGATTCGACCGGAGCTTGGAAGGGGTGCAGTTTCCCAGCGGGTTGCAGACTTTGACCTTCGGCACGGGCTTCAATCAGAGCTTGGACGGAGTGAAGCTTCCCAGCGGCCTACAGAGCTTGACTTTCGGCAAACGCTTCAACCAGAGCTTGGAAGGGGTGCAGTTTCCCAGCGGCCTGCAGACCCTGAGCTTCGGCCATGATTTCAACCAGATCTTGGAAGGGGTTCAGCTTCCCAGCGGCTTACAGACCCTGACCTTCGGCCATGATTTCAACCATTGCTTGGAAGCTGTGCAGCTTCCCAGCGGCCTACAGACCTTGACCTTTGATTATAGTTTCAACCAGAGCTTGGAAGGGGTGCAGCTTCCCAGCGGCCTACAGACCTTGACCTTCGGCACTTCTTTCAACCAGCGCTTGGAAGCGGTGGAGCTCCCCAACGGCCTACAGACCTTGACCTTTGGCTATAGTTTCAACCAGAGCTTGGAAGGGGTGCAGCTTCCTAGCGGCCTCAAGACCTTGACCTTCGGCCATGATTTCAACCAGAGCTTGGAAGGGCTGCAGCTTCCCAACGGCCTACATTCCTTGTCCTTTCACAACCGCTTCAACCGCAGCTTGCAAGGAGTGCAGCTTCCCAGCTCCTTAGTGCGTTTCTCCTCGCGTATTGGTCAGGTCGAGACCTGTTGATCTCCGAGATCGCCAGCAAAGTAGCTTGATGTTTCGGGTTTAGGGTTTAGGTGATCTCACATGTGACAGCGGTAGGACGTCAAATTATCGTATCCGGGGAGTTCGGCTTATGGCTTATGGGTTCCGCATGATATTGGGCTGATATATTGGTGAGCTGGTAGTGGCGTCGATCTATAGCTTCGGGTTTTGAGGTTGAGGGCGTATAGGGTTTTGGAGTTTGGCTTGTTAGGATTTAGGGTTTAGGGTCTGGTGTTTAGGTCTATAGTTTAGGGTTAACCCTAAACCCTAAACCCTAAACCGCATCCACATCGAAGTCCCTATTTGGATCAACTCCTCTCAGCACAAAGGCTGTTCAGGGGTTTAGGGCTTAGGGTTTAGGGTTTTTCGGGTTTAGGGTTTCTAGGGTTTGGGGTTTCGGGTTTAGGGTGTAAACTCTAAACCCTAAAGCCCGAAACCCTAAACCCTCAAGTGCATCTTCCAAAGCCCACCTTCCTGTCCCCGGAACCTCCACAGCAGTCGTGAGGAGTGGAATTTCTGACGGACGCGATTTAGCAAAAAGGTTTAGGGTTCAGGGTTCACAGGGTTCAGGGTTCAGGGTTCAGGGTTCAGGGTTTAGGGTTTAGGGTTTAGGGTTTAGGGTTTAGGGTTTAGGGTTCAGGGTCTAGGGTTTAGGGTTTAGGGGTTAGGGTTGTTTTCTTTCTCTCTTGGTGAGCCCAGCGGTGCCCTTTTGCCCTTCTTTTCTGGATCTAGGTTCCCTTTTCAAGTGGCCAGCCCCCAAGAGGGCGCCCATGTTATTAGGGTTTAGGGTTTAGGGTTTAGGGTTTAGGGTTTAGGGTTTGGGCTACCCGACGACCAAGTTCTCAAGCCGCGCTATACACGCAGAGATGAGGCAAGTAGGTGCCTAGACGACCCCTTGAGAAGGTATACTTGCGGATATACGGTGCCGAGTTCCTGGTTTAGGGTTTAGGGTTTAGGCTTTAGGGTTTAGGGTTTAGGGTTCCTTATTTTCCTTTTAGAAGAACCTGCAAGTGAACTAAAGTCTGCACTCACTTTTGCACCATTCTTCGTCGAGTCTTGCCTCAGTGCAAGCGCCAGCATGGGGCTGTTGACCATCCACTGTCTTGCCGGCTCCACGTTCGAGCTCCTAGGTATGCCCTTGGGATATGTGTTATGTTCCCTTATCGGGTTCAAGAGGATTGTATTTAAGAATATTTCCCTAAACCTTAAACCCTAAACCTAAACCCTAAACCCTAAACCCTAAACCCTAAACCCCTTTTAAGGGCCATCCTAGGCTCCATGTGGACGATGTGGAGACGGGGCTGGATGTGCGTAGACGCGTCGCAGGAAGTGTTGGCCTTTCCGCATCGTCAATCGTGCTGACTTCAGTTGACCGTCTCCTTGAACTGCACCAGCCGCTGCTGCCACAAATTCAAAGCCAAGAGCTCACATATGTGGTGCGGAAATTTGGCGCAGGCTGCGCGGCACGCAGTATAGAGCAAGCATTAACGAGGACAGGCTTGAATCAAGACATGGATGCCATGCATGCCGTTGTTGCCTTGACCTTCAGCATACACTTCAACCAGAGCTTGCAAGGGGTGCAGCTTCCCAGCGGCCTACAGACCTTGACCTTCGGCCAGTATTTCAACCAGAGCTTGGAAGGGGTGCAGCTTCCCAGCAGCCTACAGACCTTGACCTTCAGCAATCTCTTCAACCAGAGCTTGGAAGCGGCCCAGCTTCCCAGCGGCCTGCAAACCTTGAACTTTGGCTTTAGCTTCCACCAGAGCTTGGAAGGGGTGCAGCTTCCCAGCGGCTTGCAGACCTTGACCTTCGGCTATAATTTCAACAAGAGCTTGAAAGGGGTGCAGCTTCCCAGCGGCCTACAGACCTTGACCTTCGGCACAGGCTTTGAACAGAGCTTGGAAGGGGTGCAGCTTCCCAACGGCCTACAGACCTTGACCTTCGGCGACAGATTTGACCGGAGCTTGGAAGGGGTGCAGCTTCCCGCCGGATTGCAGACTTTGACCTTCGGCATGGGCTTCAATCAAAGCTTGGACGGGGTGAAGCTTCCCAGCGGCCTGCAGACCTTGACATTCGGCAACCGCTTCAACCAGAGCTTGGAAGGGGTGCAGCTTCCTAGCGGCCTACAGGCCTTAACCTTTGGCTGTAGATTCGACCAGAGTTTGGAAGGGGTGCAGCTTCCCAGCGGCCTACAGACCTTGACCTTCGGCCAGTATTTCAACCAGAGCTTGGAAGGGCTGCACCTCCCCAGCGGCCTACAGACTTGACCTTCGGCATGAACTTCAACCAGAGCCTGGAAGGGGTGCAGCTTCCCAGCGGCCTACAGACCTTGACCTTTGGCAGTTCTTTCAACCAGCGCTTGGAAGCGGTGGAGCTTCCCAGCGGCCTACAGACCTTGACTTTCGGCAAGAACTTCAACCAGAGCTTGGAAGGGGTGCAGCTTCCCAGCGGCCTGCGGGCCTTGACCTTCGGCCCATACTCCAAGCAGAGCTTGGAAAGGGTGCAGCTTCCCAGCGGCCTACAGACCTTGACCTTCGGCGACAGATTTGACCGGAGCTTGGAAGGGGTGCACCTTCCCAGCGGCCTACAGACCTTGACCTTCGGCATGAACTTCAACCAGAGCTTGGAAGGGGTGCAGCTTCCCAGCAGCCTACAGACCTTGACCTTCGGCGAAAGATTTGACCAGAGCTTGGAAGGGGTGAAGCTTCCCAGCGGCCTACAGACCTTGACCTTCGGCAATGATTTCAACCAGATCTTGGAAGGGGTGCAGCTTCCCGGCGGCCTACAGACCTTGACCTTCGGCAGATTTTTCAACCAGCGCTTGGAAGCGGTGGAGCTTCCCAGTGGCGTACAGACTTTGACCTTCGGCGAAAGATTCAACCAGAGCTTGGAAGGGGTGCAGCTTCCCAGCGTCCTCCAGACCTTGACCTTCAGCAGATTATTCAACCAGCGCTTGGAGGCGGTGGAGCTTCCCAGCGGCGTACAGACCTTGACCTTCGGCGAAAGATTCAACCAGAGCTTGGAAGGGGTGCAGCTTCCCAGCGGCTTGCAGACCTTGACCTTCGGCTATAATTTCAACAAGAGCTTGAAAGGGGTGCAGCTTCCCAACGGCCTACAGACCTTGACCTTTGGCTATAGTTTCAACCAGAGCTTGGAAGGGGTGCAGCTTCCTAGCGGCCTCAAGACCTTGACCTTCGGCCATGATTTCAACCAGGGCTTGGAAGGGGTGCAGACTCCCGACGGCCTACAGACCTTGTCCTTCCACAACAGCTTCAACCGCAGCTTGCGAGGTGTGCAGCTTCCCAGCTCCTTGTTGTGTTTCTCCTCGCGTATTGGTCAGGTCGAGACCTGTTGATCTCTCAGATCGCTAACAAAGTAGCTTGATCATCTGCGCTGCCGATCTCACATGTGACAGCGGTAGTACGTAAAACAAAATCGTATCCAGGGAGTTCGGCTTATGGCTTATGGGTTCCGCATGATATTGGGATGATACCACTACTAGCTCCGGGTTTTGAGGTTTAGGGCTTATAGGGTTTGGAGTCTGGCTTGTTAGGGTTTAGGGTTTGGGGTTTAGGGTCTGGTGTTTAGGCGTCTATGTCTAGGGTTTGGGGCAACCCTAAACCCTAAACCGCATCCATATCGAAGTCCCCATGTGGATCAACTCCTTTCAGCACAAAGGCTGTTCAGGGGTTTAGGGTATAGGGTTTAGGGTTTAGGGTTTAGGGTTTAGGGTTTAGGGTTTAGGGTTTAGGGTTTAGGGTTTAGGGTTTAGGGACACCTCAGGCCGGAGGCCAAGAGGTGTAGGGCTTCGGAGTTTAGGAGTTTTTATGGTTTTCACGGAACAGGGCTTGTAAGTCTAAGCGCTCCATCCCCCCCCATTGTGAGCAAATCAAAAAGGGACCTACGTCCCATTTCCGGTGTTTGTTCCGAGCATACTGTGGATACCCTCCTCAAGCCTAAACCCTCAACCCTAAACCCTAAACCCTAAACCCCCTAGACCCTATAAAGTCTAAACTCTCAAGCACGAAGCCACACAGGCGCGTGAATGCCTCCGCCGGTGGAGGAAAGGAGGCTTTGGTTTGGGAGTTTAGGGTTCAGGGTTCAGGGTTCAGGGTTCAGGGTTTAGGGTTTAGGGTTTAGGGTTTAGGGTTTAGGGTTCAGGGTTTAGGGTTTAGGGTTTAGGGTTTAGGGTTTAGGGTTTAGGGTTTAGGGTTCGTTGGAGATGTTCTGTTTCCCCTTTCTTGGGTGTTCGCCCACCTGGTGTTGAGGGGGTAGAAGGTTGGAAGGATCTCTCCTCCAGTCCATCTTAGGGTTTAGGGTTTAGGGTTTAGGGTTTAGGGTTTAGGGTTCTTCTAGGGCTAGGGTCGGGTTCCCCATACTTAGCACAGGTGCTCTGGGATACAGTTCCCTGTATTGCCTGCTCTGGAATCTAGTCCCCTTATCCCTTTGTTCTGAACGCTTTTTCGGGATTGTCGAAAGGTATATAGCCACTAGTCTGGGGTCGAGGGTAGGGTTCGGGCGTTTGGGACGAGGTCCAAGCTCAAGCAGGTTCCCCAACACCGCATGCACCTTGCAAATCCGCAGCTCTAAAGCCTAAGCACTACTGTACTTTAATACTTTTTTTGGTTCTGGGTTCCTAGTATAGCTACTTCTACCTAAAAAGTACATACTTTTTTTCCAGGGTCTACTCCAAAGGTAGGGCACTGTATGCCCTGAGAACCTACACCCAAAAAGAAACGAGACCCTAAGCCCTAAGAGAACCTCAGCCCCAAAAGCCTACACCCCCAAAATCCTAAGCCCCTAAAGAAAGCCTAAGCCCGACACTCAACCTGGAGACCTTGAACCCTGAACCCTAGACCCTAGACCCTAGACCCTAAACCCTAAACCCTAAACCCTTGCTGCGTGAGGTCGCCGGTGGCGACTTGACTCGAGCAGGCCAAGCTTTCGCGAACTGCAGGGGCCCGGGAGGTTGGGATGAGTTCCCCCTTCAACTATGGGGTGGGGTTTAGGGTTTAGGGTTTAGGGTTTAGGGTTTAGGGTTTAGGGTTTAGGGCTTAGGGCTTAGGGCTTAGGGCTTAGGGCTTAGGGTTTAGGGTTTAGGGTTTAGGGTTTAGGGTTTAGGGTTTAGGGTTTAGGGTTTAGGGTTTATGGCCTCAATAGGGGTTTAGGTTGGGAGGCATTAAATTCCTATGAAGGACTGGTAGTACAAGTGGGGTTGGGGGGGGGGGGGGGGTGTGGGTTTGGTGCGGGTGGGGACCTGTGTGGATTGGGGGGGGGGGGGTGGGGGGGGGGGGGGGGGGGCCTGGTTCGGGTGCGGCGGCGGGGGGGTGGGGGCGGTGGGGGCAGGGTTGGGTTTTGGGGTGGGGTTTAGGGTTTAGGGTTTAGGGTTTAGGGTTTCGGGTTTGGGGTTTGGGGTTTGGGTTTAGGGTTTAGGGTTTAGGGTTTAGGGTTTAGGGTTTAGGGTTTAGGGTTTAGGGTTTAGGGTTTAGGGTTTAGGGTTTAGGGTTTAGGGTTTAGGGTTTAGGGTTTAGGGGTTGGGGTGGCAGGTCTTAGCACATTCTGAGCTGCGATTCGAGCTAGCAGCACAAGGTCTCACAGAGGACGCTGTAGCCACCAGCCCAGCGCATTCTTTCATATCGGGTTCAGGGAGTTTAGGGAGTTTAGGGAGTTTAGGGTTTAGGGGTTTAGGGTTTAGGGTTTAGGGTTTAAGGGTTTAGGGTTTAGGGTTTAGGGTTTAGGTGCCCCCCACTCCACCTCCTGCGCCCATGGTGGCCTCAGAAGGCGGAACGCCAGGAACGGATGCATCAGCAATTTTTCTCTGTCAGTTGGAAGCTTGTGTAGTGCCTCTGCCAAAAACCTTACGAATCCCTAAACCCTTTTCCCTAAATCTCCAAACCCCAAACCCTAAACCCCAAACCCTAAACCCTTACCCTTTGTAGGGATTGTAGTACCCCCCTATTCGAATCCCTAGTCAGGGCTGTTAGTATAAGGGGGAACATCCCAACCCGAAGCTCTAAATCCTAAACCCTAAACCCTCAACCCTACACCTACACTCTTCCTCGAGCTTGAAAGCCCGATTTCCTGGGCAGGCCGCGCGGCCACCAAGCGGGCGCGCTCGCGCCCGGCCGCCGCACCGCCCCAGCGCCCCCCAGGCGCTGCTGACTCTCGCGGGGGGGGGGGGGTTGTTGGGGGGTTGTTGGGGGGTTGTTGAGGTTTATAGGGTTCAGGGTCTAGGTGGGTGTAGGGTTTGCAGGGTTTCGGGACTCTAGGGTTTATAGACCTCAGGTTTAGGGTTTAGGGTGCCTGGGGTTGTATAGGGTTTGGGGGCTTGGGTTTTTTGGGGGTTAGTTGGGGTTCCTTTATAAGTTACATTAGGCGACTAACCCTAAGGGTCCATGTACCTATATAGTATACACTTGGGCCTTAAGGGATTGCCATATAGTAGCTTTAGGGCTTAAGTATATACTATACCCTGAACCTGGTCCCTTACCCTAAACTCTAAACCCTAAACCCGAAACCCTAAACCCTAAACCCGATATACGTACACGGGCCCATAGGGGAAGAGCTCGTAAGTGAGCCCCAAGCTCAAGTGACTTCCTCGCATCGCAGGATCCCGGCACCCGCGGGAGGACGCGCCGAGGGTCTTCCTGCAACTTCAGGGTTTGGGACTCTCAGGGTTTAGGGTTTAGGGTTTCATCAAACCTAATTTGGGTTTTGGGTTTAGGGTTTAGGGTTTAGGGTTTGGGGTTTGGGGTTTGGGGTTGAGGGTTTCGGGTTTGGGGGTTCGGGGTTTGGAGTTTGGAGTTTAGGGTTCCCTACACCTAAGGGACCATGCGGGCGGTCTATTTCGGGTACACCCAGTTGTCTGCCCAAAGCAAGGTATAAGCCTGCCTGTTTATAAGGACCTCAAATTCCTTACAACAAGTGGCTGCACCTGTTCCGGTGCATAAGTAAACCCAAAACCTACAATCCAACCTTTCAGGGGTCCCTATATAACCCCCTGTGTATACCTTATAGCGTCCCTATATACCCCAGCATCCCCTAAATATCCCCTAAGGTCCCTTATAAGGGTCCCTCCTTTAGTCCCTTGATACACTGATTTTACTTTTGATACATGAACACCCAAGTCTATATTAAGTATATTATATATCAATCAGTATATATATATATAAGCATTCACTATATATTGCAATCCAATCAAGTTTTTAGGTGCTGAGGGGCCGGGGGTTTCTGGTGATTCCAGCGGTCAAGGGCCCTCCGTAGGCGCGAAACCCTAAGCCCTAAACCCTAAACCCCAAACCCTAAACCCTAAACCCCAAACCCTAAACCCTAAACCCCAAACCCTAAACCCTAAACCCTAAACCCTAAAGGACCGGTTGGACAAGGCTCCCGCGAACCTTTTCCCGGAGGTGTTGGAAGCGACCTGTTGCAAGTGCAAAGAAGGCGGGGGGGTTCGGGTTTAGGGTTTAGGGCTTAGGGCTTAGGGCTTAGGGCTCAGGGCTTAGGGCTTAGGGCTTAGGGCTTAGGGCTTAGGGCTTAGGGTTTAGGGTTTAGGGTTTAGGGTTTAGGGTTTGTAGGGTTTGTAGGGTTTACCTCACCTCGTTTCGAAGAAGAGTTTCCAAGAGACCGCGCACGCATCGTCATTTTTCAAGTGGCTCCAAGAACAGGGTTCAGGGTTCAGGGTTCCGGGTTTAGGGGTTTAGAGCTTGGGGGTTTTAGGGTTTCAGGGTTTAGGGTTTATGGGTCAGGGTTTCGGGATGTTTCGGGTTTTGTGGTTTAGAGCGTGGAACATCTGGCAACCTCTCAATCTCGTTCCATTGTTTTGATTTCCGACGGCAATGCTCCTGAACCCTAAACCTTAAACCCTAAACTCACAATTTTTGTTTCCGAATCCTCCCGAAGCCGTGAACCCTAAATCCTACCCAACGGAAGTTTCATGATCCCCTGAACCATGAGCCCTAACCCAAGTTCAGTGGATCTTTCCGCGAGGTCATGCCAGCATGGAGAACGACTTGGCAATGTGTGTCGGGAGCCTATGGCCGTGCTAACATGGACTGCTGAACTGACAAATAGTAACTGGAGCCACAAACGGACGATGACTTTTGAGAGCTGCACACTTAACTCTAGTTGCAACACCGCTTGTAAGTCCCTGAGTATAGCAATGGGTAAGAGGGGGCCTGCTCCTTCAATTTCAGACCATATGGGCATATGTCCTCAAATGTTCAGAATGTGAAGGGGTGTTTTGTGAAGCTTCAGGAAACAATCATTTAGGGTGGCTAGACCCTAAACCCTAAACCCTAAACCCTAAACCCTAAACCCTAAACCCTAAACCCTAAACCCTAAACCCTAAACCCTATGTCGAAGTTCGATCCTGTTTCGCCCCCCCCCCCCCCCCGGGTGAACTGGATCCCGCTATGGAGCTCAGGATCGCTGCGACAGGGCCTTCCACGCCAAGTGTCATGAGCCGCCAGCAGCTTGCCCGGAGGAGTAGGGTTTAGGGTTTAGGGTTTAGGGTTTAGGGTTTAGGGTTTAGGGTTTAGGGTTTAGGGTTTAGGGTTTAGGGTTTAGGGTTTAGGGTTTAGGGTTTAGGGTTTAGGGTTTAGGGTTTAGAGGCTTCGGTTTCAGGAATGCTGTTGTTAGGAATTCTGTTGCTTCAGGCATATCCTAAGCCCAAAAGCCTTTACAAACCCTAAATCCTTTGAGGAAACAGGCATGTACAGGAGCCTTACAGATACTACCTCCTTGCAACCTCTATACCGTCTATACCTGTACCAAACAACCCAAGATACCGCTTCCAATTAAGCCCCAACCCTAAAGTCTAAGCCCTCAACCCGGACCCTAAGCCCCAGATTTACCCCGAAGCCGGTATACCCTTGACCAAGCCCTCCAAAAACCGAGCTCTTCGGCACCTAACCTATGGGTTTAGAGTTTAGGGTTTAGGGCTTAGGGTTTAGGGTTTAGGGCTTAGGGCTTAGGGTTTAGGGCTTAGGGCTGAGGGCTTAGGGCTTCAGCTTCACGGAGCGCTGCTGAGGTGGCTTACTTCGGGCGCCCGGACGATCAGTGGCTGCTGCCTCACTCGCTTTTATCCCAAGCGGCTCTGTAAGCTATCATTTTGTAAGGTTGGGGTGTTCCCCCTTCTCCTATGGGTTTAGGGTTTAGGGTTTAGGGCTTGGGTTTAGGGTTTAGGGTTAGGGTTTAGGGTTTAGGGTTTAGGGTTTAGGGTTTAGGGTTTAGGGTTTAGGGTTTAGGGTTATAGGGATTTAGGGTTTTAGGGTTTTAGGGTTTTAGGGTTTTAGGGTTTAGGGTTATAGGGATTTAGGGTTGTAGGGTTTTAGGGTTTTAGGGTTTTAGGGTTTTTGGGTTTTTGGGTTTTAGGGTTTTAGGGTTTTAGGGTTTAGGGTTGGGATCTTCCCCCTTCTACTAAAGTAGGGATTACAGTAGCCTCTATATGATAATCCTTATTGAGGACTGGTAGTATAAGGGCGGGAACATCCCTTTGTGTAAGGTCGCTCTTCCCCCTTATCCCCTTATTAGAATCCCTATCGGTTTAGGATTTAGGGCTTTGGGACTATAGTACTCCCTTTTAGAATACCGATGAAGGATTGTTACTATTTCGGGGAACATTCCAATGTGTACGGTTGCGCTTGTTTAGAAAGGCTTTCTTGGCCCAAGGACCACGCCACATGAGGCTGTGGCTTTTTTTGGCCTAAGCCTGACCTAAAAACCATCCTCTCCCTACCCATAACATTGGCCTTCGGCGTTGCTGTCTCGGACAAAAGGCGAGTTTTTGCAACATGGACAGACTTGCAAGCAACACAGCTCACGATTCAGGACTTCTTGGTTTGTCGGCTTGTTGGGACGTTGTAAGGGCTTAAGCAGCTGGGTATCTGTGCGGCAGGCTTGCAATCGCAAGAAAAACCCTAAATCCTAAACCCTAAACCCTAAACCCTAAACCCGGTGTGTTTGGGGACTCCCGGAGCCCTACGCTCTTATAGAATCCACCCCTAAGCCGGTTTAAGTTTATCTTCAACCCGAAGCCCTAAACCCTAAACCCTAAACCCTAAACCCTAAACCCTAAACCCTAAACCCTAAACCCTAAACCCTAAACCCTAAACCGTAGCCCTAAACCCTAAACTAAAGCCCTAAACTTCCTAAACCCCCAAAGCCCCCCCAACAGTGCCCTTAGGTTCTGCGCCGCCTGCACCACCGAGCTGGCTGAGATGCGGGAGCTTTCGCTGAAGGCGGCCTGTTGGCGTGTGCAGGGTTGGGTTTAGGGTTTAGGGTTTCGGGTTACGGGTTTAGGGTTTAGGGTTTCGGGATTAGGGTTTAGGGTTTAGGTGGCTGCTCTTGAAGGTACGGTTGGCTTTTGAGGCCACCCAGAGAGGAGAAAACAAAAACAAAAACATTTTTGGGGTAGGGGTGTTCCCAAAACAGTTGCTAGGACCCAGAGTAGGCCCTTATTCCGCTATTCCCTTCTTTCAGGGTGTAGGTTCCTTTGTGAGTCCCTTTAATCCACAAAGGGCACCTGTCTGTTTTATTCCTGGGTTACTCATGGGTCTAGGTTTACTTGAGGGTTTTGAGGGATTCAGAGGTGTTCTGTAGCTCTATTTACCCTAAACCCTAAACCCTAAACCCTAAACCCTAAACCCTAAACCCTAAACCCTAAACCCTAAAGCCTAAACTAATCAAGCCGCAGCATAAGTGGCATTCGGCATCGTGATGTGGTGGAGACTTTGCCCTGTGCGAAAGGCCAAAACGAGGGTACGCGGAGATTTTAGGGCATCGTAACATGTAAGTGCGCGGTCTAGATACCCAAACCTAAAACTTAAACTCCCTGCACCCTACGCCCTGTCGGCCTAAACCCTAAACCCTAAACCCTAAACCCTAAACCCTAAACCCTAAACCTGTAAACCCTGTGGACCCTATTTCTGAACCCTACGAACCCTATCAACTCCAAGCCCAATAAACCCTGCACACAGTGTAAATCCCAAACCGCAAAACGAAATCTTAGCCTAGGCCCTATAAACCCTAAAAAGAGGCCCGACACAAGTATGCAATCAGCCGAAGGTGGACGACTTCTGCTGGGTCCAGTGCACGGGCGAAGCGCATCCGTGGCCGGTGGAGCACTTGGTTGCACCTGGGGTTCAGGGTTGAGGGAAGATCCGGGTAATTCAGGTGTAGTGTAATATAAAGCCGAAGCCAGAATTTGTCGGGTCTAAGTCTAGGGCCTCGGGAATGGAGGGCTCAGAGGGCTTTGGGGCCTTGGGGTTTTACGATATGTTGAAGTCCACTCCACGTAGAGTGGCGCAATCCTGGAAACCACCCCCCGGTCCCTCATCCGACCTTGTCCATCCAGAGCCTATGTCTTCGATGTGTGGCCATATGTGCACATACATGCAAACGCATGTATATATGTATATGGATATAGATATATATATATATATATATATATATGTATATATATACATACATATATATATATATGACAATATACATCTATGCACGCATGGGTGCAAACCCTATAGCTAAGCAAGCTCTGGAAGTGTCACCTTAGAACCCCACAAATGAAGCCCACATCTCCGCACTGCAAGGATTCGTGGTTGCAGGGTTTCGGGCTCCCAGACATATGAGGGTTGTTCTAAACCCCGGCCTCTTGACAGTAGATTCGAGTGTCCAAAAATTATTTTGGATGTAGGCTAGGATGGCCTGAAAACCCTGCAGCGCGCAAGAGCTCGCAAGAGCGCGCAGGGGCGAAGCGCAAGGGCGAATGTGTTCAAGTTACGGTTGCGCCCTGGATTCGGAGGGAGTCCAGAGCCACGGTTTAGGGTATAGGGTTTAGGGTTTAGGGTTTAGGGAGCTTTCGGCATGACACAATGCACAAGCCTGGCGCAAGCTGCGCGCAAGCTGTGCTCAAGGTGGCCCCGCCATGACGAAGCGGCGCAGGGTTTAAGTGTAGAGTTTTGGGGCGTAGGGCCAGGGTAGGTTTAGGGATTTCGTGGGGGCCCGGGCCCCCCCCCCCCCCCCCCCACCCCCAAACAAATTTGGATCCTCCATGAAGGGGTAGTTGGGGGGGGGGGGGGGGGACCGCCCTCAGGGCCTCAAGCCTTCAGGACCTCAAGGCCTGAAGCTTTCCAGCCTTTAAGATTCCTGGAGCCCAAGGCCCGCCTCAAGCCTTCCTGCGTAGCCCTTAACCCTAAACACAAACCCTTAAACAAAAAAAATGTCCAGAAAACACTTATTGTGATAATAGCAGGTACCCTGAACAAACTCGGCTCGCAGTAATAAATTTTCGAAACTCGTGATTATAGACCCTCCTTATACTAAAGTCAGTCCAACATTATGTTCCGTTTGTGCTGTAGGTCTTCAATATCGAAATGTGCTTAACGCTAGGGCCGCGCAAGAGCGCGCAAGGGCGAAGCGCAAGAGGAATTTCAAAAAAGGCACGGCCCTCGAATAAGGAACAAACCCCCATATCCAATCGTGCCCCAGCAAAGTGCCGTGGATCTCATCTCCCATATGCCTCACAGGACCTGGATCCAGCAGAGTTACCCTCAGCCCTCAGCTTAAACTTAATCCCCCCCTAAACCCTAAACCCTAAACCCTAAACCCTTCAACAGCCTACACCCCACTAGGACCCAGAGTGGGCCCTTACTCCCTTCCCTTAGGGCTTCTGTTCCCGTATAAGGCCAGTTAGACCAAAAAGGGCACCATTCTTCTTCCTAGGTTCCTCTTGGGTCTAGCTCAAGACCCACCTTGACACCTCAATCTCAGCCCCTAATGCCTCAAACCCTTCCCCGGCCCATTGTTTCTACAGCAATATGAGTAGTTCTCTAAAATAAGGTTCCCTTTTTGGGCCCCTATATCATTCCGGCACCTTATCAAAAGGACGTCCCAAAGATTTCCTAAACCCTAAACCCTAAACCCTAAACCCATATGAGAGAAGAAGGCCCAAGTTCTGCGAATCGACTTCTGCTCCCTGGCGGATCCGCGGCCATACTGGGTGGCCCTAGCGCGGGTTGCTTAGGGTCTACAGGGGGCTGGTTGGGGTCCAAGGGTTTAGGGTTTAGGGTTTAGGGTTTTAGGGTTTAGGGTTTAGGGTTTTAGGGTTTAGGCTTTAGGCTTTAGGCTTTAGGCTTTAGGCTTCAGGGTCGGGTTGGGGCCCTTTGTTGGGCAATTTCTCTAAGCCCTCGGATGTGAGTCTTTCTTAATTGACCTGCAGAGATAAGGCTCGAGGTCCCTATGGGTTGGGGCTTAGGGGAATTGAGTTCACCCCTGAACACCCTAAACCGTAGACCCCACAAGCCAGCCTTTGTGGTTTCTGCAGCCACGACAGCTGGCAGCTGGCCCAACCACTGCCCAACCTGAGCCCCACCTGACGCCATACTGCAACCCCAAAAAGGTTTTACACTCTACAACGCTTTTGGGGCTTTTTAAGCCTAAGCTCGACCAAAACCCTCAAACTACGCACAAGAATGACCAGTAGCTCGGTTACCATCGTATGCATACACAGAAAAAGATATGGCTTCCCTGTAGTACGGTAGCGTGACTTTAAGTTCCTGCGCAGCAACCCAGTACCTGCCTGGCGATTGTCAGTGTGATTGTAGGCACGTTTAGCGAAGCCCTCGCGCCTATACACTATACTGCTTCCTACAGACCCTAAACCCCAATCCCTGTAATTAGACCCTAAGCCCCAGAGTGGGAGTTGTGGTTTTTAAGGCAAGGCTGCAAGTGCAGTTTGTTGTCGCGCTTGCTGTGAAGTTCTTGGAACTTCGTGACTTAGGTCAACTTGCAGCACTAAGGGCCTGAAATACGAAGCCACTGAGGGCATAACCTGAAACCCTTTAAGCCCTAAACTGCCCGAAGGCCTCAAAAAGACCTTTTTGATTGAAGTTGAGAAGGGTAAGGATTGGGATGTTCTCCCTTGTACGAACAGTTCTTAACTGGAGTATAGTAACTATACTCCCTATTAAGAACTGTTCATACAAGGGAGGTATGGTATATACCGGAAAAACATATCAAGGTAAGTATTTCGGAGCACGGGCCACGGCAGATCCCCAAACCCTCAGCCCTATAAGTTAGCTCCAAAGCCTAGTCTTGTCGGAGATCCAACTTCCGACCAAAAAGCGGAGAGCGAGAGAGAGGGTTTAGGGTTTAGGGTTTAGGGTTTAGGGTTTAGGGTTCAGGGTTCAGGGTTTAGGGTTTAGGGTTTAGGGTTTAGGGTTTAGGGTGAGAGAGAGAACTTTCAAGGGTTTAGGGGTTTAGAGGGCTGGCCTTGCGGGAGTTTAAGGGCATGGGGGCTTACAGCTTGGGAGCTCTGAACACGCTGCCACGTGACACACCGTTCGTCGCCACTAGAAGCGCCGTAGTCAAGAAATGATAGAGGGCCTTAGGATCTTGTGTTTTTGAGGGGGGGGGGGGGGAGGGGGCGGGAGGGTGAGGAGCTGCTTCACAATTGGCCCCAGAGCTAAACAAAGCCCAAAACCCTAAACCCTAACCTTAAACCCTAAATCCTAGACCCAAAACCCAAAACCCCCAGAAAAGGGTTCCTTCCGCCTCGCCGCCCTGCCAGGTGCAGTATTTTGATGCTGGCTCGTGCTGGCCTGAGGACTCACTGAGGACGCTTTATTTCGGCATACACTTCAGGGTTTAGGGTTTAGGGTTATAGGGATCCTGTCTAAGAATTGTTAAGATACACTCCTTATTTAAAGGGGTATCAGGCAGGTTCGGGAAAGAGGTACGATGAAGACACTCCCGTGCCTTGTTGACCAGCTCGGCCGAGGTTAGCTGCTCGCGCCAGGGAACAGTTTAAAGTACCCTAAAACCTAAACATATGCGAACAACCCTCAACTTCACAACCCCCCCGCCCCAGCAAAGAGAGAACCCTAAACCCTAAACCCTAAGCACTAAACCCTAAACCCTAAACCCTAAACCCTAAACCCTAAACCCTAAACCCTAAACCCTAAACCCTAAACCCTAAACCCTAAACCCTAAACCCTAAACCCAATTCCTCAGCTCATCCCTTTTTTTTTGCGCCGCGGGGGAAAGCAGCTGAGGCCTGAGGGGCAGTGGGTCGGAGAGGTCAACGCCTCGCCCTCATTCCTTCGGCCGCCTCAGCTTTTTTTTTGTTGTTTAGGGTTTGGGGTTCGGGGCTCAGGGTTCAGGGTTTAGGGTTTAGGGTTGAGGGTTTAGGGTTTAGGGTTTAGGGTTTAGGGTTTAGGGTTTAGGGTTTAGGGTTTAGGGTTTAGGGTTAGCTTTTTCCTTTTTCATTTTTCTTTCTACTTTTTGTTTGGTTTAGGGTTCAGGATTTAGGTTTTTTTTTTTTTCTGGGGCGTCACGCCCTCATTCCCTTCGGCCCCGCCCTTTTAGTTTTTGTGGATTTGGGGATTTGGGAATTTTCGAGTTTTGTCAGTTGTAGTTTAGGCTTTTGGCGGTGTGGGTAGATGAGGGCAGGAGGGCCCCTAACCCAAGAGCGCCCCTGAAGCAAACAAGAGGTTCCCTCTACATGTCTGTGCTGCCGGGAAAAGCCCCCACCAAAGCTTCAAAAACTCTCAAAGCCCCCGCAGCCCCTGACAAAAGCCTAGATGCACCCCCACCTTCAAGAAAATGACTAAACCCCTAAATCCCTACGCCCCATACACACACGCACACACCCTACACCCTAAACCCTAAACCCTAAACCCTAAACCCTAAACCCTAAACCCTAAACCCTAAACCCTAAACCCTAAACCCTAAACCCTAAACCCTAAACCCTAAACCCTAAACCCTAAACCCTCAACTCAAAAAACCCTTCGCCCTAAGTTATCCCCGAGGTGAAGCCCTGGACCGGTGGCCCGCGGTGGGGCTCGATTGCCCAGGACCGCTTAGTAGCAGAGCAGGTGTCCTTTAACCTTTGAGGGTTTAGGGCTTGGGGTTTAGGGTTTAGGGTTTAGGGTTTAGGGTTTGGGGTTTGGGGTTTGGGGTTTAGGGTTTAGGGTGACTTTTTGACCTTTTGGCTAACGGGGTTAGTCGACTTTGTTTCTTGGGGTTAGGGTTTCTTGGGTTTCTAGGGTTTCTAGGGCTTCTTCTAGGGTTTTGCAGGGTTTCTAGGGCTTATAATTTGGGCTTCTAAACTTTCTAGGGTCTTGTAGTTTCTAGGTTTCTGGGATTTGTGTAGGGTTTGTATAAGGTTTGTAGGGTTTAGGGTCGTAAGTTCCCAATTCAAGCGCTTCAGCACACAATTAGGGGGTGTGGTGGGGCGGCACATGCCGTGAAGGCATCTTGGTGACCTCGAGACAACAGACGACAGTGAGAGCTTGGTTCCCTAAACCCTAAACCCGAAACCCGAAACCCGAAACCCGAAACCCGAAACCCTAGGCTAAACGACCCTAAAGCCTCAACCCTACTTTTCCCTTCTCACATTCCAGGCATGCTCAAGAAATGTTGCGGTCTCCCGGTTTTCGTCGCAAAAGTCGTGGTTCGGGCCTCCAAGGTTTGTTTCTAGGGGGCTTGCGGGTGGAATTAAACCCGTTTCAAACTCCCTAAACCCTAAACCCTAAACCCTAAACCCTAAACCCTAAACCCTAGACCCTAGACCCTAGACCCTAAACCCTAAACCCTAAACCCTACACTCTTTGTAAAAATGCGCAGTTTTACCCTAGACTGCCAACAAACACACAAGACCAACACCCGAAACCCCAAACCCGACCCTGTATCTCTACACCCTGCAAACCCTATACGCCCTATAAGCCCTATAAACCCACAACCCTAAACCCCAACTATAATAGCACAACCCTTTAACGCCTAAACCCTTTAACGCCCAAACCCTAAACCCTGAATCCTGAACCCGAAACCCGAAACCCTTTAACGCCATAGAAGCCTGTCAGGCCCGCCGCCGCAACGCGGTTCGGCTCGCTGAGGCTGCTCCAAGATGTACAGCAGTTTAGGGGTTTGGGCTTTAGGGTTGGGGTTTGGGGTTTAGGGTTAGGGGTTTAGGGTTTGGGTTTAGGGATTGGGGCTTAGTTTTTAGTGTTTGGGCCTAAGAGTTTTAGTTCCAGCGCGTTGGGTTTAGGGTTTGGGGCTCAGGGTTCAGGGTTTAGGGTTTAGGGCTTGGAGTTTGGGGTTTAGGTAGGGTTTTAGGTTTGGGGTTCAGAGTTGCTTGACATTGGCTCATTTCGCGTTACAGCAACAGCCGCGTTCAGTGCACCACCCAGGATGCCCATTAGGGTTTAGGGTTTAGGGTTTATTGTTTAGGGTTTAGGGTTTCGGGTTTCGGGTTTAGGGTTTCGGGTTTAGGGTTTAGGGATTAGGGTTTAGGGTCTCTCTCTTTGCGAGCTGATGGTGGCAAAAGGGCAGCCAGGGAACAAAGTGGACCCAGTGGTTGAACAACACCTGCTAGCCCGATTGTGGCTCATGGCCCAGAGACTCCAAATCCCCTAAACTCAGGAGCATCCCTTAAATCATAATAGGAACCCGAATATGGCTTAAGTTGCATTCCTTAATTGAGGGGTTTTGGAGTCTCCAAAACCCTAAACCCTAAACCCTAAGCCCTAAGCCCTAAGCCCTAAGCCCTAAGCCGGGGGCTGTGCTGATAGGGTCCAGGGTTTGGGGGAGCCCTCGGTCCGCGGAAGGCGGTTCATGGTACTTAGGAGCCCAAATTCGAACTGTACCTAAAAGCCCAAAGTTAAGTGCGTATTAGGGCACCTATGGAGGCTTAGAGGTGGGTTGTAACTACACCTGTAGTGGTTACTAAGTGAAGCAGGGTTTTTATTACTGTTATTGGTGAGTGTACATAAGGTTCCTTGTTATTGCTGGTGAGTGTATGTATTGGGTGTCCTTTTGGGGATACAAGAAATATATGATCAAGGCTGTAGTTTTGCTCAAGCTGGTTGGCGTTTTCGCACTCAAAGTTTTGCTCTCTGGGAGCGTTGTGGTCTCTCTCTTCGTCAGAATGCTGAGCTTGTCCGGCACATTGCTGCCCTTCCTCCTGATAAGGTCTGTCCGGCTGGTGCTCCTCCTGGCCTTTCCTGTGACATCTTCACGCAAGTCTGCAGTCTGTATTTGGATCATCGCAATGCGAATCCATCTCAATACTGTGTTCTTGGGGTCAACATGTCTGATATTCAGCTTCCTAAGGCTACCGCGATTTCTCGGCAGAGTGAATTGTTCATCAACTTTCGCTCTCGCATCCATGGCAAGGCTACTGTTGCACCATGGATCTCGGTCGCTCCTACTGTGTTTGCTGTTGCCGAGGGCACGAAACAAGTTAACGGTAAAATTCTTGTTAAAGAATGTGGTGGCCTGGGGCAGTTTGATTTGGAGGTGATTCCTTCCGTTCCGCTCCCTCTTCTCCGTGAGGCGTTTGGTGGTCGCCGTCCGCTTCGTACTGCTTGTGCGTTGCTCCACACCTGGCGTGATTTTTTGCAGCGTATTGATGCCTATTCTTCTGGCCACTTGCTTTCGACTTCTTCTTTTGATGACGTTTGGCGCTGTGCTTTCTGCGACCGTGATAGGAGTCAATGTCAGGCCAAATGTTCTACTGCTGCCTGTCCTGGCCCATCTGACTCTGCGATCCTCGCTGCCATTCGTCTTCGTTGCCTTCGTCTTTTGTCGTTGGCTGAGCTGTCATTTCACAGGCTGCAGTTTGCTGATGTTTCTGTCACTTTGGATGACTCTGGCCTGCCTAAGCTGGAGGCCATTGTTGAGTCTCTTGTGAATTCGGTGACGAATCTCACTTATGACGGTGTCGTTCAATTATGCAAGGATAATTGTCGCTCCCCTTCTGCTTTTTCCAAATGGTGGAAAGCTGTTCTTTCTAGGTGGAAATGTCTCATTGATCATTGGCAAAAGGGCAAGCACTTTGTTCTCCCTTTTGATGTCACTGCTCGGGACGGTTTCTGTATAGCGTGCCAATTGAGATGTCCAAACTTTTCAAAGTTTCTCATCAACTTTCATCGGAGACAATGTGTTCCGCATGCTCTCGTTTCACGTGTTAATGAAGTGCGCTCGGTCCTCTTGATGCTCGTGAAGGACTTGGAGCGGCTTCGTGGTGTGCTTTAGTTTTTTGCTTCTTGCTCGGACAGCTCTTCGGAGACTCCAGGGATACAAGAAATATATACCCTACTTCAAGTACCCTGAACCTCCAAGCACGAGCTGGAGCTCCAGAGGACATGGATGTGGATGGGGCCTTGATTCCTCCCCAGCAGATTGCGTATGGCCATACCTGGCAGAGAGGTCCCATGACATCGGTACCCTAAACCCTAAATCCTAAACCCTAAACCCTAAACCTTAGTTGCCAGGCTGCTGGCGCTCCGTGCCTCAGTACCATGGGTCCCGCGCGCCTTGGCCGGTTTGGAGGGTTTGCGGGGGTTTAGGGTTTAACCCTAAACCCTAAACCGTAAACCCTAAACCCTAAACCCTAAACCTAAAAAGGTTTAGGGTTTTGGGGCTTTAGGGCTTTAGGGGATTGGGGCTGAGGGCCCTGGAGCTTCACTCTCCCAACAAAGGCTTCAGAAACCCCGAAGTTGCCTAAACCCTAAACCCTAAACCCTAAACCCTAAACCCTAAAACCCTAAAACCCTAAAACCCTAAAACCCTAAAACCCTAAAACCCTAAACCCTAAACCCTCCGAAACCCTTGCGGGAGGGGGTGGGGGGAATACCCCCCGGCCAACGTTAAAAACAAAGTTTTTTGTCGCAGAACCCGTTTGAAACTCATGTATGTTGAAATTCCTGCGTGCCATCTTGATTGTCAAAATGGAAGTTAAACATATTTTCAGACAAGACACAAAAAAACGATGTTGCGGACTTTTACAAAGCAAAAAATGAATGTTTCTAAAATATAATTTCTCTGAAAACTCCTTTAATACAAATTCCAATGGAGACCACGGCAGAGACCTGAACAACGACCAAGTCATGCCTTTAAACAATGAAAATCAAACCCGAAGACTCCCAAAGCTCCTGTAATGCCCTTAATTCAGGGTTTAGGGTTTAGGGTTAGGATTTAGGGTTGCCTAAGGGCAAGCGTTGAAAACCTCATAGACAGCCCCAGCCCAGGCCGAAGACGCCCAAGCGCAAGGCGCCAGCGCCTTTGGAAGGAGACAGCATGGAGCTCAGGGTTTAGGGTTAGGGTGAGGGCAGGGTTTAGGGTTTCGGGTTTAGGGCTTAGGGTTTAGGGCCATAATTAGAGTCAGAAGTCATGCCTGTGCGACAACGCGACTATTGCACCTCCTTTGCGGCCCAGGTGTTCCCGACGAAAGGAACTAGAGCTTGGGTGTCAGGGTTTAGGGTGTAGGGCTTAGGGTTTAGGATGTAGGGTTTTTAGGGGCGAAAAAGGTCTTTAGGACGCAGGGGTTTCACGTTTTTGCAGACACGTGCGCGACCTAAACCCTGACACCCTCCTTGGGCCCCCTTGACCACAGTGTTCGGCATCCTGAACCCAAAACCCAAAACCCTAAACCCCAAACCCTAAACCCTAAACCCTAAACCTTAAACCCTAAACCCTAAACCCTCTTTAGGGTACTTATCACCCTACTTCTAACTACCCATGAACCTCCAAGTAATCTAGGCTCCAGGCTCTGGGCTTGAGGCTCGACAGGGTCCAGAGACGAGGACGTGGGTTGTTTTATGATTTACGAGCCCTTAGTATCTTTGTGGTTTCTTTACTGTAACTTTAGATCCTTAGCCTTTTTGGGTTTATTGGGTTTCTTAAGAAGGCAGCTAAAGATTTAATTTATAGCTACCCTCCTAAGTTCAGCCAGGTTATGAGCCCTTAGTATGGTCCCTTACCTTCTTTAAAGGGTTCTGAAGTATGGGCCCTTGGGTTGCATAGGGTACATAAGAGGTATACAAAGGGTCCTTTGTAAGGGCCCCTATCAAGGGACCGTGCAAGTACCCTTAGACTAACCCCCAAACCCTAAACCTCAGTCCCTAAGATCCCAACATCCTACAAAGCCCCCCCCCTCCCTTCTCTCCCGAAACCCTAAACCCTGAACCCTAAACCCTTAATCCTCAGTCCGACAGCTCCCAAAAGCATCAAAGCCACAACCTGCAAAACACCTTCAGCCCCCAAAGAGCCCAAGCCCTGAACCCCCACAAATGCCCCTAGACCCCCTAAACCCCCCAACCTCCTCTCTCCCCCCACAACACTCTAGAACCCCTAAACCCTGAATCCCTAAACCCTGAATCCCTAAATCTCTAACTCCCTAAATCCCTAAATCCTAAATCCCTAAGCCCTAAACCCTAAACCCTAAACACTAAGCCCCAAGCCCTAAGCCCTAAGCCCTAAGCCCTAAGCCCTAAGCCCTAAACCCTAAACCCTAAACCCTAAACCCCTGAACTGAATGCAACTTAAAGCAGGCCCGAAGTCGCCAGTGAAGAAGCGGCAGCGGCCTAACAAGGTCCAGCAGGGGGGCGGGGGGGGGGGGGGGGGGGGGAGGTTTAGGGTTTGGGGTTTAGGGTTTGGGGTTTGGGGTTTGGGGTTCAGGGCTTCAGGGCTTCAGGGCTTCTAGGGCTTTCAGGGCTTTCAGGGCTTTCAGGGCTTTCAAGCTTTAGGGTCTGGGTTTAGGGTTTAGGGCTAGGGGTTCTAGGGGTTCTAGAGTTTTGGGGGTAAGGGTTGTAAGGGTTTAGGAGTCCTACGGATCAGGTATTTTGGGGGCACTTATGCACTGCGTGAGAACTACCAATGAGCCTCCAAATAAACTGTGCAGCCTGTCTAGGCCTCAAACGCTTCAGAAGACTTCTGGCTTCAGGTTAGTGGAACCCGAAACCATGCACCCTCAACCGTAAGCCCTACATCCTGCTCCTTCAGCCCTAAACCCTGCACCCTAAACCTTAGGGTTTAGGGTTTAGGGTTTAGGGTTTCGGGTTAAGGGTTTAGGGTTTAGGGTTTAGGGTTTAGGGCTTCCCATGAACCCCAAAACTTGAACCCTCAACCCTAAACCCGAAACCCCCGTCAACCTCAAGCCTCGACCTTGCCGGGGCCAGGACCCGATTCCTGCCGGCAAGGCGCCGCGACGCAGTTCCCGCGTGCAGGCGCGCGCGCGTGCGGGGCCCGCAAAGGGTACTAAGGTCGAAGCCCTGAGACTTCAACCCTAAACCCTCAACCCCTAAACCCTAAACCCCAAAACCCTAAACCCCTAAACCCTAAACCCCAAAACCCTTGCGGTTGCAGGGGTTTAAGGCCTTGTTGGGGTGGGAACTCGTGGCTCTGGGGGCCGTAGGGTTTTGTAGGGTTTAGGGTTTAGGGTTTAGGCTTTAGGCTTTAGGCTTTAGGGTTAGCGTTAAGAATCCAGGGACTAAAGGAGGGACCTTCTAGGGGTCCTTCCTTATAATTACCCCTGAAAAGAAGATTGCGCCAGGGGCTCTAACTTTGGGTTTAGGGTTTAGGGTGTGAGGTCTGAGTATCTACGGGCAGCTAGATGGTCGCTTAATGCGGTCCTTACCTTCTTGGCAGGCTTGTGGCGCATGGGCCCTTGGGATTTTGTTTTTTCTTTTGTTTGGGGGGGGGGGGGGGGGGGGTTATATTACTTGGAGGTTCATGGTACTTATTAACCAATTATAACTGTACTTATACCTGTACTTATAACCATATTAAGGCACTTAAGGGGCTTATAAGTGGGTTTGAAGTACAGTTATGATTGGGTTACTAACCCTAAACCCTAAACCCTAAACCCTAAACCCTAAACCCTAAACCCTAAACCCTGCAGGTATAGGTACCACGAACCTCCAAGTACGGGAGCATGATACTCCCAACTGCTAAAGTCGTTGCGTTTCTTACATGTGACCAGCAGACATTGCGGGAGAGTGTTTCGGGGGGTCGTTGCGCTTGGGGTGTCTACATGGGGATTCACATGAGAAGTCCTTGCTAGATTGATTTGAACAGGAGCGGGAAAGGATTACAGGAAAGTCGTGCCTATTTGTAAATCGCAAGAGAACGCTCGCAGCCAAGTAGAACCTTGAATTATATCACAAGTGACTCAACATGACTCAGCTATCCCGACAAAGACGGGAGAACAAGCTGGGTCAAGCAGAATCCTAGAATCTGGCGCACGCAGATGAACCACAGTTATCATGACAGAATAGCAGAAAGCACAGGACGCCTTCAAAGTACACTCGCAGGTATCGTCCTTATACAAAAAGTCAATTGTGACAGGTATCGTCCCGACCAGAGAACATTTTCCGGAAACAATGTTATACATTGGTCAGATGCCTTCAAACTACGCGCGAGAGGTATCGTCCCGACCATAGAAAAACTCCGAAAACAATGTTAGTACCTGGAGAAAGAACTGAAATGCACTGAAAGTACGTGCTGTTCCTTGGGGATTGAGTGCCAAATGCCTCTCTGAATGATCTGCTTCATGGCTTGTTGGGGACCGCTGTTCCTTGCAGGAAAAGGTGATTGCAAGGACCCTGCCGCGACCCCCTCGTTGCGCCGTGTTCATTGGAGATTTATACAAAACACCATGTTTGCAAGGCTTCCGCGTTTGGGAGTACCCTCTTCATCCCGCCCTCTAGGCATCGGCTTCCCTTCTCGGCCCCAGGAAAGCCCAAGAAAACTGGGTTTAGGGGTTTAGGGGTTTAGGGGTTAAGGGTTTAGGGTTTAGGGTCAGGATTTCGGGTAAATTTGGGCTCCCGTGCGTTCATCCCAAAACACGAGTACCCCTCATTTGTTTGAGGTATTCTTCTTCATTCAGTAAGGGACATTCATACCTGTTAAAAAGTATCCAGGTTTTGGTGTCAACTGCAGTTGACACGGCCACCCGATGCCGAAGGTGGTGTTGGGGGGCTGAGCGAGGTGTGTAATCACCACCTGTGCTCTCATGCCTGCAACACCCATTCTTGACACAGAGACCCCCCACTGACAGGCGAATGTGGACAGGAAGGCAGTTGACGAGGGCGGGGAGGCGGGTTTCGGGTAAAGCAGAGGTTCCGGGTTTAGAAGAGTTTGCAACCATGACCCGGCCGTGTAGGTAACACTGCGTGGACCCCCACGCTTCGAGCCTCAAGTTCAGCCCTCACACCTGAACCCTCAAACCACCTGAAACCTGAACCTTAAGCTCGACATGCCCAGCATACCCTTTAACCCTAAAACCCTATACCCCCCGAAACTGAAGCGGGCTAGGCTCGGGGTTTATCTTGGACTTGCGATTGCGTGTGTGGCTTGGGAGCGTCTAGAGAGGAGGGGAGGCGGACCCCCACCCTTTTTCTGGAGCTAGAACATCTAACCTACTCAAGATACCCTTGCTCATCAAGTAGGCTGCTATACTGCCTAAGCCCTAAACCCTAAACCCTAAACCCTAAACCCTAAACCCTAAACCCTAAACCCTAAACCCTAAACCCTAAACCCTAAACCCTAAACCCTAAACCCTCTAAACCCTAAACCCTAAATCCTAAACCCTAAACCCTAAACCCTAAACCCTAAACCCTAAACCCTAAACCCTAAACCCTAAACCCTAAACCCTAAACCCTAAACCCTAACCCTAAACCCTAAACCCTAAACCCTAAACCCTAAACCCTAAACCCTAAACCTAAACTCTTCAGACATGGTGTGCAGGGCCCATCCTCAAGGAAGGCGCCACGCCTCAGCCGTCGCATGCAGGCGCGCCCCGCACTTTGGCAGGGTTTAGGGCTTTGTGGTGCTTTACTGTAACTTTGGATCTTTAGCTTTTTTGGGTTTATTGGGTTTCTTAAGAAGGCAGCTAAAAATTGAGTTTTTAACTACCCTCCTAAGTGCAGCCAAGACCAGGGGTTCAACGTTTCGGGTTTAGAAGGTCTTAGACTCTCAGCCGCAACCTCAAAAACGCTGAGTCCTGAACCAGGGGTGCATACCTCTTTGTAGGGATGTTTCCGGCCATCTGAGAATGAATATCTCTTGGAAAGTTTGGACCTGTGAAAATTCGGGTTTCCCTAAGCAACTAGTGCCTGCTGCTAGGCAAACAGCCGTCTGACAACAATCTTGGCGCATGTGGGAAAACTAGTCTGGCGACAAATGGTTTGTGTTCAAAGCTCGACTTCAATAGGAGCTATATGAAGCGTACTTGGCTGTGTAGCTGTGGGTCGGAGAAGCTCAACTACGGTTCGTCCGATTCTGCAGGATGTTCTGCCGTACATGAAATGGGTCGTCCGGCCTCTTTGTTCACTAGCTGGCTGGTTTTCTTTACAAATAGCTGATTTTGGAGGAAATCAGGGTGGCTTGTCTGTTTGGTCTGGACACCGTCGTCACTAAGTGTGTCTGCTACATGTCTATATATGTACATAAAAATATGTTTATCTGTCTATATTTATGTTTGTTTTTGCACATTTCTATCCTGGACAAAGCACATCCGCGTGGCAAGGTCAATCAAGTAGGGTCCAAACAGGAAACTACGATCTAGAGAAGTGCCCTAGCTAATCCGCCCAGCATTTCTTTCCGCCATCCTCAAAGACAACGGTTTTATAGGGTATATACAGGATATATCAGGGGCATGTATAATAATTTTTAGGTTTGTGGGGTTGATGTTGTAGGTGTAGGAAACACTAAACCCTAAACCCCAAACCCCAAACCTTAAACCCTAAACCCTAAACCCTAAACCTAAATCCTGGGGTGCTTCGGGTTTGTAGGGTTTGGGGTTTAGGGCTTTGCCGCTTGCCTTCGGGTCAACCATGTGCCGAGGAGAAGAAAGATGTGGAAGATGATGAATTCGTACAACAGGCCAGCCTAAGCGTTTTCGGGTTTTTGGTTTAGGGTTTAGGGTTTAGGGTTTAGGGTTTAGGGTTTAGGGTTTGCCAACACCTAAAACCTAGACCCGAAACCCCAACCGACCCCAAAGGACCTTCAGTTGCAAAGCCGTGTTGTCTAAGCTTGGGGTTTAAGGTTCAAGAGGTTTAAGTTGGGATGTTCCCCCTTCTGCTACCAGTCCTTCATGGGGATTCCAGTACCCCGTACTATAAGCCCTATTAAGGACTGTTAGTATACGGGGGAACCTCCCAATTTAAGAGGTTTTAGCGCCATTGAAGCTGAATGTTCACTTCCACCCATACCGGGAGGTTTCATGTGTAGGCATAGCTGCGGGCTTAGGAAGGAGAAGTGTGGGTTTATGGTTTAGGGTTTAGGCTTTGTGAAGTTTAGGGTTTAGGGTTTAGGGTTTAGGGTTTAGGGTTTAGGGTTTAGGGTTGAGGGTTTTCAAGATGAGTCGTCCCTTTGTGTGGGTCCTTTTAATTAGGCAGGTTTTTTTGTTCTTTTCTTTTTTCTCCCGGGGGGGGGGGGGGGGGTGGCAGGGTTGGGGTTTACAACTTCCACATGGGTTCGAACTTCGTGCCGAGAATTAGTGGAGAGAGTGGTGTACCCTAAACCCTAAACCCTAAACCCTAAACCCTAAACCCTAAGATGGTTCGAAAGAAGACCAACCGCAGAGACCGGATGGCCCGGCACAAGCCCTAAAACCGAGTGCCTACCACAGGGACGAAACTAACCCAACTTATTGGATAAGCTCCAAGTCAGAGTCCTGAACTTAAGGGTTTAGGGTTTCATACCTAAACCCCTAAACCCTAAACCCTAAACCCTAAACCACTTGTTAGACGGGCTGATGTTAAGTAGTTACACTTCAAGCCCCTGCTTATCATAGGTACGCCCAGCAAGGGCAGGCACTTCTGTTTTCGGAAGCCCCCATATCAGCGTCATGTTTCTGTTTGCGTTGAACCTTATTAACATCTTAGGATTCTTGTTTTTTTTTAGGGGGGGGGGGAGGCGGTTCATAATTCCTCAGAAACAGCTGAAGTTATAATCTTGCTCGGGTTCCCTAAACCCTAAACCCTAAACCCTAAACCATAAACCCTAAACCCTAAACCCTAAACGCAAGTTCAGTATAGTAATGACATCATGGGAGTTTTTGTCAAGTTTGCCACACGCCATGTCGAACCTTCTTCGACTCTTGGTGCTTCTCTTGGTACTGGTGCCAATCGCTTTTCTCTTGCTGCAGAATGATGTTCGCTTGGTGGGGGCCAATGTCCAAGAGGTGCCCTTGTCTCCAGCACCGGGACCACTCCCCAATACCGTGTTTCTATATCCCCCTTGGGAAATTTGTTATTTTTGTTTATATAAAACCCAAGAGGGTATTAAACATATTTTTTATTAAGGTTCTAAGGGGAGTATAGGTTTCGGATTCCCGCAGCGCTGGGACCAGTCCCGAGCCTCGTCATTGCCGGCACTGCCAAAGCAGGTACATCCACAGTGCTTGAGAAGCTGTCGAAGACCTATCTCGTCCAACTCCGAGAGGAAGGACAGCCGCTTAAAGAGCTGAATTGCCTTTATGAGGCAGAAGGAGGTATGAAAGCCGTTAAGGAGTGCTACGCGAGATATTTCGAGCCGCTGCAGAACATCACGGGGAGCTCTGTGAAAGTCTTGCAAGTTGAGAAGTCTCCGAGCTATCTGGACTCCAGGTGGACCCGTGAATTGAGACTTTCACCGCCAGAAGTTCTTTTCCGGATCTCACCGCAGTCGCGTGTTTTGTGTATGCTGCGGCAGCCAACGAAGCGGATCCGTTCCCTTTATAACCATTGGTGCCATCAGAAGCTGCGTGTGTGCGACGGCGTCCCGCTTGAAGAACTGGTGCCTCAGCCGGGTCCTTGGGATATGTCACCTCTTCTCATTTGGGTCTATAAAGAGTATCTGGTGCAGGAACCTAAACCCCAAACCCTAAACCCTTGTCAGGTCTAACGGCTTCAACCGAGGTAGTTGAGGAGCTGCGCTTCCTGAACCAGTCCGCCGAGCGCGTGCAGGAGTTCGTCGACGAGCGCTGTGTCTTCCGAGTCGACTGCGATCTTTGGACCCCAGGTTTAGGGGCCCAAAAAGCCAAACCGTGTACCCCACGAGTAGGGTTTAGGGTTTAGGGTTTAGGGTTTTTTGGGCCCCTGAATCTAGGGGCCCAAAAAGACGCATCAACATAAGGATCCTACTCTTGGAGTATGAGGGCCCCTAAACCCTAAACCCTATAAACCCTAAACCCTAAACCCTGTTTGTCGGTTTGGACCGCAGGCTGGGAGCTCCGGAAGTCCTTTGACGAGCACCATCATCTGACCACAGATGCAGGTACCCCCAAGTTCCCGTTTGTCCTGACTTCGGTCTCTTGGTAGCCCAATGGTACCCTTAAGTTTAGGGTTTAGGGTTTAGGGTTTAGGGTTTAGGGGTTAGGGCTTATGATAATATGGTTACTGGCCTACAAAGGTCTATTTCCCGTTCATCCACACCTGGGCCAAGTACTTCAGCGGGCAACTCGCCGTGATACAAGCCGAGTATTTTTTTCAGGAGCCCCAACGTTTGTGGAGCCTCTTGGGAATCGAAGCCGTGCAGCCGCAGAACGCGTCGGAGGACGTGGGCAGCGTGGGCACAAACCGCGCGGAGTCTTACAGCGCTACCTCGCACTTCAAGCCTTCGACCCAAAAGAGCCTTGGTGGCCTTGCACCACCCCTGTTATTTGGTTCAAGGTTCCCTCATGAAGTATCCAACTCCAGAAAGGGGTACTCTTTTTGCAATATGGAGGTTTACGAAAGTAGGGGCCCCCAATTCAGATCCCCAAATAGTAGGATTCCTTATCATAAGGACCCCAATAAGGTACCCCCCCTAGTTTAGGAAACCCCCATATGGTTCCTGAGCTACCAAGGAGTTTGGACGATTTCTTCAGGAAGCCGAATGCTTTGCTTCGCTCTTATCTCAGCCTTCAAAGCACGAAGATCGTCGTGGCGCCGCTGCCTGCTGATGACAACTGGTGGGCCGAGGAGGACGTCTAAAGAGCCTCCTAGCTGCAGGGTCTAGGGCCTTTAGGGCCTTAGGGTTTGGGGTTTAGGGTTTAGGGTTTAGGGCCTTTAGGGCCTTAGGGTTTGGGGTTTAGCGCTGGCGGTGTCTGGCTCAGAAGAGGGAACTGCGGTTTTGGTGCCCCATACACTCCCTTGAAGGTGAGTATAGGGAGATGAGAGGTAGCTAATTTCCCCCATTCGTTGCCAGGAAGGTGAACTAGAGTTGAGGGTTTAGCATAAGTAGGGTGCGGTGCGTGACCTGATCTATCTACTTGCGGCTTAGTGACCTTAAAGTTGCATCGCCTGTCTTTCGGGTTTGCGGCTTCTAGGGCTTCCAGTTAGTTAGTGGGAACCCCAGCCCTAAACCCTAAACCCTAAACCCTAAACCCTAAACCCTAAACCCTAAACCCTAAACCCTAAACGGACTAGTCCGTGTGCATGTCTGGCCAGGTCTTGAGCAACTCCATCCTGCCCTTTGCTACCGCTGTGTTTGCTACCTGGTTTCGCACCAGCTCTCGCCCAGAGAGACGAATTTACGGAGGCTGAGCCGTGTAATTGCGGGGATCGGCCGCGAAAAGCGTATACTAAGGTGCCACGTGACATTGAAAGTTCAGGATCTTTCGGACACGGAGCCTTTTTCCCCGTTTTAGGGTTTAGGTTCCCTTAGACACCCTCCTGAGCCCTAAACCCTAAAGATTACTTGGGTGTCGGGGTTTAGGATTTAGCGTATAGAATGCTTGGGAGGTTGCCCACAGTGCCAAGCATCTTCCCAAGCAATCCCCCCCCCCTGTCCTATAAGCTTCCTGGCACCCTCAACAGCGACCCTGACTCAGTGAACTCAAGTATTTACCCTAAACCCTAAACCCTAAACCCTAAACCCTAAACCCTAAACCCTAAACCCTAAACCCTAAACCCTAAACCCTAAACCCTAAACCCTAAACCCTAAACCCTAAACCCTAAACCCTAAACCCTAAACCCTAAAGCGTTTGCGCTCCTGAGGAGCCCCTTAGGGCTTTTAGGGTTTGGGGTTCAGGGTTAGGGTTTAGGGGCGCAGTTTGGGGGTTTGTAGGGTTGGGGTGTTGGGGTTTAGGGTCAAGGGCTTTAGGGTTTAGAATTTGGGTCTGGGGTTTAGGGTTTAGGGTTCAGCATCTCAAGTCCAGGCACTCACTAGTCAAGCAGTGTGGTTGTGAAACAGGAGAGTACCCACCCGCCCAGAGAATCCCACAACGTTAAGAAAGCATCAAGTTCACTCGATCCGTAACACTCTAGGCCCTTGTACCCTAAGGCCCTACACCCTAAGCCCTGCACCACTCGCCCAGCAGTAAATTGGACATTTCACCAGCAAACTAGTCTTCGTCGGCTTTGGCATCCGGGTGGCTTTAAAAGGCCTTGGGAGACCTTTAAAGGGCGGGGGGGGGGGGGGGGGTCGGGTCCGATTTTGGCATCGGGGTGGCCTTGAGAGGTTTTTGATCCGATTTTGGCATCCGTATTCAGGTGTACATGTGCATATGAAAGAGAGGGTTTAGTGTCGTTTAGGATGTCGCCAACGCCTCGTGCACCCATCTAGACGCCCAGCTGTAAACCCTAGGCCCTCTTCTTCGGGTAAACTTTGTGGTACTTTACTGTAACCTTAGCTCCTTACCCTTTTTGGGTTTATTGGGTTTCTTAATAAGGCAGCTAAAAGTTTGTTTTTTAGCTACCCTCCTGGGTGCAGCCAAGTAAAGAACCCTTAATTAAGGAATATCCCTTAAATTAGAATAGGAACCCTAATATGATTTAAGGTATATTCCTTAATTAAGGGCTTTTGGAGTCTCTGGGTAAAGAAGTCTTGGCATGGGTGCGTAACTTGACTGGACGGTTGTTACCGGCCGTGCCGGGCATTTCTTCAAATCTTGGAAGGTGTACTTCGGGCCTGTTGAACCCTAAACCCAAAAAGACCCTACTTGGAGGTTCATGGGCAGTCATAAGTAGGGTTATAAGTAGGGTAGCTATACTTATAACCCTATTTAGGGTACTTAGAATCCTACTTATAGCTACCCATGAACCTCCAAGTAAACCTTAATCCGCAACCAGAGTTGGGCGTTTAATATGTGACCTTTTGTTACAAGCCTTCTAAAGCCCCTTTGAAGCCCTAAAGCACCCTAACCCCTAACCCCTAACCCCTAACCCCTAAACCCTAACCCCTAACCCCTAACCCCTAAACCCTGCACCATCCTTGGGTATTTCAGGCAAACGAGATGAGAAGCCTCATTGCCGCCGCCAAGGATCCGTCTTCCGGGTCTAAAACCTAAACCCGAAACTCCAAACCCAAAACCCTAAACCCTAAACCCTAAGACTTCTTTTGGGTTTATGGCCTCTTTGGGGCCGTAGGATGCTGGGAACTCGTGTTTCTGGGGGTCGTAGGATTTGTGGTTTTAGAGGGGCGTTTACATCACATTAGTCTTGTTCTAAGAAGGTGGGTTTCGGGTTTAGGGTTTAGGGTTTAGGACCGGGGTTGTTTACGGTTTTCGGGTTTTGGGTTTTAGTAGGTTTGAGGGTCTATGGTCATAGGGTTTAAGGTCCGGGTTTTCAATTGGTGTCTGTGTCGCAATGGTGTGTAGTCTGATTTTTGCATAAGAAGCCCCCCCCCCCCCCGCCCCAAATGTTTTATCCCTTTTTACAGGCAATGTAGGGAATGTTATCTTTTGGTTATTGGAGGGTCTTGAGGAAAGGGTAGCAATAAGCCCTAAACCCTAAACCCTAAACCCTAAACCCTAAACCCTAAGTTTAGGGCCCGGGAGGAGTCTGCTGTTTCAGAGGATCCCGTTCCCCTGCTTACTCCAGGTAGCCACAGTATAGGGGTGGAAGATTTTCGGGAGAGACCCTGAACCCTAAGAAGCCCTACAAACTCTAAAACCCCTAAGCCCGAAAAAGTAAAATCCCCAAGCCCTTTAAACCCTAAACCCTAAACTCTAAACCCTAACCCCTACCCTTCTTTTTGTGGGTCCGCGGGTGCGAGGAGCGACAGCGCAAGCTCGAGGCGGAGCTGGTCCAGGCCTGCAGAGTTTAGGAGTCTAGTCTAGGGTTTCGGGTTCAGGGTTTAGGGTTTAGGGTTCAGGGTTTCGGGTTTAGGGTTTAGGGTGTAGCGTGTAGGGTTTAGGGTCTAGGGTTTAGGGTTTAGGGTTCAGCGCCATTTAGGGTTTAGGGGCACGTGCCTGCTTTTTATTAGAGCTGTTCAGGGAAGACCCTGGGACCTCAACCTCCGAGCCTTCCAGACGCCTTGGAATCCATGACTCCCCTAAACCCTGAACCCTAAACCCTAAACCCTAAACCCTAAACCCTAAACTCTAAACCCTAAACCCTAAACCCTAAACCCTAAACCCTAAACCCTAAACCCTAAACTCTAAACCCTAACCCGAAACCCTAAACCCTACCCTAAACCCTAAACCCTAAACCCTATCCGTAGACGCGGCAGGCTCCCTTCTAAATATGGTTCCTTCACAACCCTTGAAACACTCAACACTTTTTAGGGTTTAGGGTTTAGGGCTTAGGGTTTTTTTAATTCCCCGAACCCCAAAACCCGAAAACCAGCAGTTTAGGGTTCAGGGTTTTTGGGTCTTAGGGTTTAGGGTTTAGGACCAAGTGAGGGTTTCATGTTTACTTGGGTTTAGGACTTTTCGGGGTTTAGGGTTTAGGGCTTCAGGCAATCTGCATTCCTTAGGTTTAGGGGGTTAGAGCTTCAGTATGTAGGGACCCTAAACCCTAATTAAACCCTAAACCCTAAACCCTAAACCCCCTTCAGTCTCTGGAGCTCCCCCCCCCACCCTCGCCCCCCGGCAAGGTCGCCAATGCAAAGCAGGTGGTCTTGGCGTAGGCCAAAGCCTCTAATTCGGGTTTAGGATTGAGGGTTTAGGGGTTAGGGTTGAGGGTACCACCCTGCAACCCTAAGCTCACATCCCGAAACACCATGACCCAAAGTTCCAGCCTTAAAGCCTCAAGCCCAAACCCCAAAGCCACAAGCCCTGGTTTCACGGCTTCCTGGTTTGGAGCACGGCTAGCCTGATGCAGAGTGTTTTTGTTGAGTTTTAGGGTTTGCGATTTTGGGGTTTTCGGCCTATTCCTAAACCCTACACCCTAAACCCCAAACGTTGAGTACCTTTAGCTTTTTCTAGCTTTTGCCAGAAACTACCGTTGTGTCCCAAAGAACGGCCTTTTGAAAGTACCTGGTTCCATTTGGTACCCTAGACCCTAATTTCAAAATCCTAAACCCTAAGCCCTAACTCCTACACTCCCTCAACCCAACACTAGGATACAAGGATGCGCAGTAGTGCCCTTATTCCCTTTTTTGAGGGGTTTAGGTTCTTATCTAGGATGCCCAGTAGTACCCTTATTCCCTTTTTGGTAGGTTTAGGTTCCCTTATAAACCCCTTTAAGCAAAAAAGGGCACCCTTTTTAATCATAGGATACTGGGCAACCTAGTTATAAACCCTTTTAAGCAAGAAAGGGCACACTTTTTGATCCTAGGTTGCTGGGCAACCCTTAACCCTAAGCCCTAAGCCCTAAACCCGAAACGGCAACAGTCGCGCCAGGCAAGCTGAAAGGAAAGCCTCATCTGCATGCGACGCCCCCTCCCGCGTTCGATCGTACGCTCTCCGAAACAGTGATGCCGTGCCTTTTTCATGCCCAATCCCTTGGGTTTGGGGTTTAGGGTTTGGGGTTTAGGGTTTAGGGTTCAGGGTTGAGAGAGGGTTCACGGTCTAGGGTAGAGGGTCTGTAGGGTTTGGGGCGCACTGTCTGCAGAGTTTAGGGTTTCCAAGGGTTCACTGTGTAGCTCCGTTTATGGGTTCGACTCTGCAGCCTTTCGAGTAAGGGGGATGAGTTGGGATGTGAACATTTCTTAATAGGGATTTGAGTTGGGGGGGGGGGGTACCATAATCCCTAAACCCTAAACCCTAAACCCTCATAGGGATTGCAATAGGGGGTGCGATAATCCCAATTAAGGACTGTTCGTAGAAGGGGGAACATCTCAAGGGATTAGGCTGATCTGCATCTGATGTAGCACTCGGACATTTGGAGAAGCCTCATCCCCGGCCGTCCATTCTACAGCATTTCCTTAACCCTTCTTGGAGTACTTCGTAACCCAATTGTCACTGTGCTTCTAACCCAATTTTAACCCTATTAGTGTACTTAAGGGGCTGATAGATGTGGGTTATAACTCCACTCATAATGGGTTCCCCTAAACCCTAAACTCTAAACCCTAAACCCTAAACCCTAAACCCTAAACCCTAAACCCTAAACCCTATACCCTATACCCTAAACCCTAAACCCTAAACCCTAAACCCTACCAAGTGCCCTGAACCTCCAAGGAAAGCCCCCGCCCAGAACCCCGCTACTTGTTCTGCGGGGGAGGATGCCGGGGGATGGGCGGAGATATCTCAAGTGGGCCATGTTCGGGGCTTCCGCTCTGTTGGGGTTTATCTATATATATATATATATATATATATAATGTGAAGTTTGAGGTTTAATTCGGGTTTAGGGTTTATATGGTAGCGTGTGTGTGTGTATACATATACTAGTAGCGTGTATGTGTACATATGCTTAGTCATTTAGTTATATGAAGTTAGGTTTGAGGTTTAGGGGCTAGGGGTTAGGGCGTCGCGAAGTCCGAGCTTTCGGCTTTGGGGGAGTCCGGGGAGAAGTAGGGTTCAGGGTTTAGGGTTTAGGGTTTAGGGTTCAGGGTTCAGGGTTTAGGGTTTAGGGTTTAAGGTTTAGGGTTTGGGGCGTTGGACTTGGGACTTTGGGATTGAAGGGTTGGGGGCTTAGCGGCTTAGGATTTACAGTATCAGTAGGGCTTATAGACCCCTCCCAAAAAAAGAAATAATAAGACAAAAAAGGAAAAAAAAAATATATATATATATATGAGCCCGCAACCTTTAAGGTCTATTTTGTCTTGTGCTTTCCTTTACTACAACAAAGACCTAGTCTAAATACATATATAAATATTATTATATGTGTAAGAATATGCACAGGGACGAGACGACGCACATATCTACCTTTTTTTTTGCTGTCAAACAGGTGGGTGGGCAAGAAAAAAGTTTTTGCAAGTCGAGTTTTGGATAAGACTTGAACTAAAACATTGCCAGCGCAAAGTATTTAGTATGATACATATACACGCAAGCCCGCCCAAGCTCGGAACATGGTGTAGACAAAAAACATAAAACACTACTAGTCTTTAAGTAAGAAAACAAGACCGCAGTTACATGCTTCGTTCTGAGGTGGTTATTATTAATGTATTTTTTGGGCTACGTAGAGTAGGTAGTCAGTATTTATTATCAAAACGTCTACGCAACATAATTAAGAAAACAAGTAAAAATATACGAGTACTGTGTGCGTGAATAACATAAACGCCTCGCATCAATAAATAAATAAATATATAGAACTATAAGACCGAAATATGCAAATCATTGCAGTTACTTCAATAACACGAAAGTACACTGTTGAAAACGTGATGAAGATACTAATTTAAGAAATAAAAACAAAACGTAGCAACGCGGCAAGGCGGGATGTGGCGGTGCGTACTCCGGGAAAAATGAAGAGATATCTGCTCACAGTATTCTCGTATTCTCGGCATGCATTGATTGATTTTGTTTACACAAGTAACACAATAACGAGATTACACATTAGTGGGAGGCGGCGCGGCGCACTCCGAATATAATGAAGACATAGTGGCTCGCAGTATGCTCGTATCCTCGGCTCGAATTAATTGCTTTTATTTGGATAAGTTCACACGTGTACGATGAGAGATGAACGGTATCTCTGCGACGCATGCCGAGACTAAGGAATATATGTCCATGTATATAGATTGAATTTTCGCACGACGCTGGAAAATTATTGCAAGCTTTCATTAATGCTATTAACACCTCAACCAGCAGAAAAAATCAGTTGCGAATGTTGTCTACTACTGACTAGCAGATTTTCATTACTTGAACCATTCATGTTGTTAGAAAGAAAATAAATCAATTTCAAGCTGGAAAAAAAACGTATCATTGGTGTTTCCGCTGTTATGATGATTGCACCACGTTCACGTGGCGCGTAAGAGTAATACAACCATTTCCTTAGCACGCATGACTGTGACGCAAGCTTGCTGTTCTTGTTATAAACCAGCACAGCAACATGTAAGTCTCTTTTATTTGCGCACGCAGGAATCCTGCCGCGGGAAGATCAAGTCCGCGACTGTAAGTCATAGCTTACGACTTACTCTTCACACCAGAGCTACGCAATGTGTGGTGCCGGATGACCCGAAGAGGAGTTCTTTTCACCTTGCGGACCTTACTGCCTTGGGCAGCTGGTCGCTTTTTGACCCAAGCTCTCACCAAAGCAGCTTCATTTTGACGAGCTTTGACAAGAGGCAAATCGGCCTTCTTCTGTCTGCCAGAAGTGTTTTGTTCGGAGCACCACGTCATCCAATCATCATCCGACCAAATGGAATTACTAGCCGCTTTGCTTAACAACACAGTCTCTGACACAATGTGTGCCAAAGGAAAGTGCGTGGCAAGGTAATGAGCAGACACTTTTATGTAACGATAGTATCGGAGCTTCAATGCTAAAGTGGAGCGATGAAGCGTGTTCGTGCTTCTCGACCACGAATTAATCTCCGCGTGCAGGGCCTCATTGCCAGAAGTCCCGCTGGGCAAGAAATGCAGCTGCTGTCTAGGTAATGCACGACGCACTCGAACATTGTTTAGCAACCATTCCAGCCTATCCGGCGCGCACGCAGCAAACAGGATCTTGTAGATTTCCTTGTTGGGTCCTGCCGCTTTGCGCGCGACCTCACGCGAGTATCGCGAACAGACGGCAGCAACCCCTTGGATGAACTCCAGTCTACTGCGCAGCGGCGTCTCGCAATCCATTCCTCCCAGGACTGCATTTGTTTCTTCGGCAGGCATATCCATCGACAAAATCATGTCCCTATACTTTGCTTCTGCTTCATCTAAAGGTCTGGACATGTCGCCGTCGTACAAGGTCATCTGCAGCCTCAGACGCACGGAATCGTCGACTGCGCAGGTTTTCTTCAGGATGCCTCGCAGAGTTTTCGATCCGGGCGTGCGCTTGTTCCAGTGCCCATACTCGTAGACAATCGCCAGATGAATAGGGTCCAGCATCATGCCTTTTAAGTTCGGGCACGTGTACTTTGCAAGCGAGTAGAATTTTGCAGATGGACTATCAGTCGCTATATACTCAACACAACTGAGCTGTCGCTCTGTGAAAGTTTCTTGCAAGGCTTCCAGCACGTGCTCTGACTTCTCTGTCTGTAAAGGCTGAAGAAGTAGAACAGCTCCCGAACGACCCCTTACCGTTAGCAAGCGTCTCCACGCAAGCTGATCCCCGAAAGGGGCGTCGTTGCGAGCCGACGCGGAGGCCCGGTACGATGTCTGGCCCTTCAGCTTCAGGCATATTTTCAGCGTGGCGTCCAGGCTAATGTATGTCCACTCATGCTCTGCTTCGAGATGAGCAGTCATGACACTCATTCTTGTCGTGAAGGAAGGTGATATAGTGATGTCCTCGAGCATGGGTAGCCAGTGCTTGACGTCGGCCGGCAGCAAAGTGGACAGCTTGTTACCGGCCTGGTGCGCTGCCATGTGACAGCGAGGCCATATGCTTCGCACCTTGCTTAGACAATAACATCAGTATTCTATGAGCGTATCTACTAAGATACAAAAGAAACAATGCTAAGGCAGCCTAAAGCTCTTGAGCATGAGTCATCGTCATCTCCTGCAGCAAGAGATCCGCGAAGGTGTGTGTGTAATACAGATTGCGAGCACGTCGCACATGAAGCGAGTCGCCAACTGCACTCACATTGACATACATCGGGCC